CGCGTTCTACCTATCGCGGTAAGTAAGAATTAAAATTGCAACGATCGAATGGTAGATAATTACAATATTTATTCGAAATGCGTTGATCACCCATTGAATTGGTAAATGAATTTTGAATTTTGTTATTCGATGTCGATGAGAATGAATCTAATTATTTGTTAAAGGATTTAAAACAAAAAGTAATCCTTCTCACAGTTACGATGCGTTCGCGGGAATCAAAAGAGGAATGCGGTGTGGCGTGCCATAAAAAAGCAAGACACGCATTCCTTCCTCGTAAAGTTGGCTTATTTAATATTATTTGAGTGATCAAAATAATGTCACTTACCCAAAAATATTGAAATGACGTTTAGATAATTAAGTATGGTAAAACCATCTAGAGGAACTAATTTTCACTTAGCGATAACACCATGCACATGTATTTTCATTGAAAAGGATGGAAATCTAATGGTATGCGGGCGGACACACGAAGTCCAACCCGTTTGACACGAGAGGTAGACTCGCTACCCCCACCAGTACTCAACATTACGCTGGAATGCATGGCATTCGAAATGCATTAGTGCGCTCTACTGGCAAAATTTTCAACTATATACGTAATAGTATGCGCCAGTACTATCCAATACAATTTTTTAAACAATTGTTATTTATCTAATGGTTACGTTTTTTAATACCAAAGTATGAAAAATCAAATTTTTCTTATAAATAAATACATAGACTCGTTTAAACGATCTATCATTTGTTGATTCTTTGGGAACACATTAGGGAAAAGATATTTTTTAACAACGTGAATGCTTTTGCGATTAATTGTAAATTTTAAGACGCGAAAATATAAAAAAAAATTATTTTTTCTGTCAAAGAAATAAATTCGTTTGAAAAATTGTTGATAATGACCCTAAAACATTTGCAAAAGAAAAAATGGCCAGCAGACTAAGACAATTTAGGCAATGCTGATGTACGCGAAAGACACTAACAATAAGATACTTTCCACAGATAGTGATAACGAATCGATTTGTATGCACGTACTTTAATTTTAACTGCGTTACATATGTCAATGTTGATATTTTTTCCTTTTTTCAAATTAAACAATTTTTTTAATAATGAATGCTTATGTTATTTGTTTCTTAATTTCATTTGTTTATACATAAACAATACGTTTATTTATCATTCGATTGAGACAGACAATATTTATATTCACGTTATATAATATATCACAAGTATATAAAGTACATAAGTAGATTAATAAATATTTAAATGCCCTATTAATCATCTACTTAAGTGTTCGATTAGAAAAAATATACAAATGTATAGTAAGATGTACAATAAAATTAGAATAAAAAGAAAGATACATGAGAGCAATTAATTCAAATTGACATCAATCTGAATTGTTCTTCGTCTTCGCTAGAATCATCTAGAAAGCTACAAAGCTAAAAAAGATACAAAATGTTACAATAAAAATTACTTTTTATTTCTTTTTGTTATATTATTGCATCTCTCTTTACCTTATCTAAATCTGAATCTTTCAAAAGTTCTTCCAGACCGCATAATTTTTCCAAATAATTCGGTATATTGCAAGCATCGAGTATAAATTGGATGCCACGTTTTTTGTATTCCAACATCAATGGTAGGGAACAAGCAGTGCAAGAAGAAAATCTATGGGTAACAGTCAAAAAGGATTCAAATGTCCAAATAGATCCTCTTATTGTATGCGGTATAGCTCCAAGTAATCCTTCTAATGTTTTATCTTTGAAATTTGAATTGACGTTGTTTTTATTTTCAGCTACCAGTGCCTTAGCTTCTAAACTATAAATTGTATAAACATTAAACTTTTATTAATACGCGTATTAGTAAATTTATTAGAAAATATAATGAAATATCTCTAACCCTTGTGGATGTTGAGTTATCGCGACCATTAATTCTACTGCTAAGCCTGCAGCAATTTGAGACAATCCTGGACGACTTACTGTACACTGTAGATCAAGAGTTCTATCTATTTGAGACTAAAATAATATTTACAATTATTTTTGTATAATTTACCAATTAATGATTATATTATTTCTAAGAAATAGATTTACATTTCCCGGTTGGGTTACGTCATTGCAAAAATAACATCCAAGATCCTTTCCATCAGGATTTGGTGTAGTCATAGCGGATACAGGAATATCCGTCAAATTTCTTACGCCATGTCGTTGTACCATATAAGAATCAAAACCCAAAGCTGCGTTAATAGTTATTTTCTTCATTACTGCGCATAGTAAAGTTGGTAACCATCTAGCTTCGCGCGAATCTAATAGTAAAAATACTACATCGTTTTCAGCAATGGCGTTTTCTAACTTTTCCACAGCTTCTTTAGTTGCGTCCAACATACTTTGTCCGACTACGTGTCCAGGCATCGGAATTTGTAAGTTAATACTGTGTATATTCTATGGAATATAGGTGCAAGTAACATAAGATAATACAAAAATATATTTACTAGAAATATTTAATATATATTTGAAAATGTTTACCATAGTTGGAAGAATCTTAAGCAAAGCATCTTTAGCTGCATCTACTTTGAATTTTCTTTTCACAGCATCTTCATGAGTGTAAAGACTTTGTCTTACAGTATTACTATGAGAAACTGTTGATTTATCCACAAATGTAATGTTGGTAATACCCCAACCAATGAGTGCTCTGGCTACTGCACATCCTAATGTTCCAGCACCCAACAATAAACATTTGAGATTACTGATCTTCTCTAAATCCAAATTAGGAACAAGCCGCCATTTCATTAATTTTAAATTTAAATTAATTGCATTTTCTGCTAGCCTGTATATTATATATTATAATTAATATATAATAATAATTTATAGATTATAGAATTTAAAAATAATGACATTCGTAGAACTTACTTAGTCGGATTTAAACTCTCAGATAAATCAATAATTCGAGGACCCATTTTACCATTTTCATTCTGTTCCCATCCAACTAAATGACTATCGAAAATAGATTTTTTCACTTTTTCTTGATCCGCATACTCTTTGCATTTCAAAGTATATACAACGGCTGTTCTAAAATCATTTTTACGCAGAGATAATATTTGTATACTCTTTGTAAAAGAATGTGTGGAGCAATGCCAAAATAATAGACATAAAAGATTTCTTAATTGCCAACCGGGTTCTGAACTTTTGCATGGATCGTAGAATGCGAAATATACTTCACGATCTATCTAAAATACACATAAATAATCAGTTACTATATTTATATCTAAATTAATCTATTAGAAATGTTATTTAAAATAAGTAAAATAAATCATATATTACCCCAACTGTACTTTCACACGCGTTAATATATTTGATACCTTTGCTTAAAGTATTAACTTCGATATTCTTTTTGTTGAAGAGAAAAACAGAAAAAAATGACTTTTGTTTGTAATCTAATTGTTGAAAACTTTCATACAATTTATCCAATTGGTTTTCCGGAAAAATGTCGTTTATTGACTTTGGTACTTTTTCATGGTACATTTCTGGCAAAGACAAAGGAGTAGGATGCGCTATCCAATAATGAAACTTATAAGATTTCAAATCGGCATAAGAAAATAATAAAAATATGGAAAGTTTCCAAGGCTCAATTAATGCTTCACCAGATATAATACCATCCATGATACATTTTCCCATAGAATCTATAAAATTCTGCGGATTAATCTTTCTAAACGCTTCATACGTATTTGTATTAACCATATAACCGTAAGATATTATTGAGTTATTCATTGAATTCGATTCAATATTCCTAAAAATTAAATGATTAAAAATTAATATTATGTGCGTGAAATATAAATTTGTAATAAACTCTTGCTTACTCATTAAACGAGGTATAGTCCAATAATAAAGGATTATTATTTTCGCTGTCTGGAACATCGAGAGAATAACTTCCCCATAATTTAATATGTGATTTTTCATCCAATCGAAGTTTATCTATCTTCAATTCAGAAAATTTAGCCCAAAATGTAGAATTCGTGGATGTTCTTAATTTAGTAAATTTAACAACGTTGATCGACATCGTGAGAAGATATTTGATTTTTCTTTAACAAATAAATATATGTATAAATGTTTATCATTTGTGTACTTATAAACAAAGTATATTTTATTCTTTACTTACATAATATATTCTACTTATACTTCTTATAAATCTTTAATAGATTAAATAGATCTTTTTTTAACAAAATATTATTAAATTTTCATAAATAGAAAATAATCTTTACGATAAAAGTAGCGTACATATGCAAAATTGTTGTTGTTTTATATTTTCGTCTTTTATATATAATTTTTGCTTTAACAAAAACGAATAACTGCGCATATTAATACACTTTGTTAATACGAATGTACACAAAACTATCGACAAATATTATTTTATTAACACTTTCACATCATCGATTTATAAAATAGATTACAAACTTAACCTAACATGTGATACAAACACAAAGTTGTTATTGTTTGAAAAATTATCAGTGAATTAGTACCAACTTGAAAATTTTCGATATAAATCATTTTACGTATAGTAAGTGAATTTGACGGATAAAATAAAGTACATTTAATGAGAGAAATAAAAGACGATTATTATTATTCACTTTTATATGTATGATCCATATTATGTATATTGTTGATCGATTATATACATACTATACATAAGCATGAAAAATAACAAAAGCATCCTATATACTTAATAATAAGAAAGTAGGCTTTATAAACAAAATTGACATTTATACTATCCGCGTTATCTGTTACAATATATCACACTAAAGAAAACCAAAGAATACAGATCTACATAGAAGCTCACAAGATCACTTTTTGTCTAACGAGATTAATCTTAGTTACTAACCTGACCACCAGTGGGTGATAGTAGGTACTTAACGCGATGACGGTTTAATACTATTAAAGAATACAGTATTTGTCTTTTTCTAGTTAAAAAATTAATCATTTGAGGCGTTCAAATAGAAGAAAATTTTCAAGATTTGTTCTTAAATCCCACGACGATCACCTGTAACAAAAAGAAAACTATATTAATCATACAATCAAGTGATACTATAGCCGATAAAAACGATTATCGATACGAGGATAGTTGTAATTCGATATATCGTATCGTGCCCACGTATAATAAGTTACTCATACACGCGTGGTGTCGTCATTAGCTTCTTACAAGTGAAATCACGTAACGCCTATATATGACACAGAGTGCACGTTGTTTGTCGAAGAAGTGTAGTGTAGTAGTAGTAGTGTAGTAACAGCGATTGACTGAGTCTCTCGTAACGGGTGGGAATTTGATAAAAGTATAGTAACAGTTTTGAAGCGGTTAAGATAGCGTGCTGTTTAACGTAAGCACGGTTTCTTACGTTCCTTGATTCATTTTTTTAATAGGGCAATGATAGGATGAACACTTTCAAGTGTTTTGTGTTCGTCTTCGCTCTTGCGGTTAATTCATTAACAAATGCATGTAAGTAACAATCGTTGATTAAATGACCTAGCGCGCGACATGTTTCAAGCGTGATTGCTACGACCAAGCCCACTTGAACATGGCGTTCGAGTTTACTTTATGACAGTACTCTTCAACAAATAAAATCTTTCATCTTTCCTTTAATCTAAATAAATGATTAATATAAAATGAAATCTTTGAATTATGATATTTACATATGTCTGATTACAAATTTCTAATCATTTAATACTATGTTATTTTAAATAGGCTATGGTCAAAGGATTCGCGCAAGCGTGTACCAGATATGTTGTTTATTTTATTATACTCATTTATAAACGAATTATCAAGAATACCTAAATCATCATTATTTATGAGACTTTAAAACGTCATTGTAACATTTTTCGAAGTAATCTTACAATAACTAACCTAGTATCAATAAATAAATGCGAATATTACATTGTGATGTAATTGGAATGATTAATCTTTATGAGTAATCTCTTGTTAATGTCGATTATCTTTGGTTTTTAGATGACTACGAATGTAATGTGCCTCTTTTGGATAAAGCCCATTTAACAGCAACTACATCTTTACCGGAGAGAGGAGCTAAAAATGCAAGACTTAATGGTATGATTCCATTGACTTATTTTATACAAGTGTATATTTTTATGATTCCTTCTATATCTTAAGCTTTCATTAAATGGTGTGAGTTTATGTATTATTTCTTCTACAAAATGATCTCAATATTTGTATACTGCATAAAGTATATTAGCTTCTTGCTTGCCTAGCTATTATTAGTTAAATCTATCTTGCTATCTTCTGTTGCACACTATAATTGCTTTTATCTGTTGGTGACATCTCTATTATGTTCTTGTATCTGAGAAAAGTATTAATGAGTAAATTCCTAAGGCACGCCCAAATTAAGTACATCTTTGAAACACCCACACTCAATTATGAGATATTTGTACTTTATTCTGATTCGTATATAAAGTGTCCTGTAACCAGTAGTACAAGCGAGTAAGAGGTGTTTTTATATAAAAAAAAAACTAAGTTTAAAAATTTTGCCTTGTTCGATAAGCATAAGAATAGAACCGATACAACAAATATCATCATACTGACAATGTCTGTAAACATATTAAGAAGCACAAAAATGCTCTCCGAAATATCTGAGAGTAAGATAGCGAAATCAGTCGACCTAAAACTGAATCAAATGCACAAGTGCTCAACAAATTTTCAAACATATTCTTTTCGAAAACAAAAACTTATATTCTTATATAGATTCAACCCCTACACGTTTGTCCCACCATTTACAGGACACCTTTTATTAGTACTTCAAAGTTTTATTTATTTAAATACACACAAATTATTTAATTGTAACTTAAGAAAAATATATAATATTAAGATTCCAAGTAATTTATATATTTGCTTCAGGTGGATACTAACAAAGAACAGTAATAAGGCCACACGTATAAAGTAGAATACATATATGTATAAATATTATAAATTTGATAAAAATTTAATTTAATGAAAAGATATAATATCAATATCGATAAAATGAGTCAGAGTGTTCGCTGGGCATTTAATTGGAAAGAATGGAATCCAAGTGAAAAAGAGTTTTCACATGCAATTTCTTGTGTACAACTAGAAGAGAAGGAAAGATTAGATAGATTTGTATTTCGAAAAGATGTTAGGGCTTCTCTTGTAGGTAGATTATTAATGAGAAAGTTTGTCAATGAGTATACACATATTCCATACGATAAAATAGCATTTACAAGGGATAACAATAACAAGCCTATTTTAAATAACTCTGGAATAAATATTAGCTTTAATGTTTCACATCAGGGATGTTACAGCGTGTTAGCTGGTGAAGTTAGAAATGTATTATTAGGTGTAGATATTATGAAATTAGAATATACAGGCGGTAAGCAATTGTCTGAATTTTTTCGTATTATGAATAGAAACTTTTCATCTTCTGAATGGGAAGAAATCAAAGGTAATGAGACTTGCATGGAAGCTGAACAAATTGCTATGTTCTGTAGACACTGGGCTTTAAAAGAAAGTTTTGTTAAAGCTTTGGGAATAGGAATAGTTATAGATCTTAGAACAATCGATTTTAAAACTAATTCTAAATTAATTCCTGGTAAATTGGTATGCGATACCGTGCTACATTGGAAAGGTGATATACAAAATTGGTTATTCGAAGAATCATTATTAGACTCAGAGCATTGTGTTGCCGTAGCTTTGCAAGAAGATGAAACAGCACCTAAGTCACAAAATAAAATGTTCAAACTGTTAGATTATAATGAACTTGTAGCGAATGCTATACCAATGCATTCAGAAGATGAACAGTATGTAAAAAAATACTTTAATAAAAATGAAAAACCTTAAACATCTTTGGCAAGCCTATACAATGGTATTGTTCGATGTAAATAATTTTTGTTCTATGAGAAAATAAATTTATATAAAATAATTCATGTAATTTTATAACTCTCCTTCAAAGAATGTTCGCTTTTGAATGTAAAGGTATTCATTTCTGCTGAAATTCATTAAAAGATATTGAAGAAAGTTTATTGATTAGTGGAGATACCATATCAATACACATCTGACATAATCTTGTTAATGACTATTAACCTACTTAAGTTAAAGATATGAAAACTTTAACTTATATGATGTATTACAACTTACACATACATATATATTTAATTTTAATTTAATTTATATATACATAAACTAAAAAAGAAATTACATCACAATATAGTTTTGATATTCATAGTGTAAATATTTGTAAGTAGATAATTTTTTTATGTTAAAATACTTTAATATATAGGCAAATACATTGCTTATATTTAAAGTTTATTTTTGATATGCTTTACATATTCAAAAAGTATTGATTTAAGGACAGTTAAATTCTAGCTTTCAAGTACCTATTTACCTCTATTAGATATAATGCATTTTTAAGTACACTTTGAGTTGCATGCATGCATACATGTTGTGGCATAGGCGGAAACGCATGGACGGCTAGCAGCTCAGACTTTGGCCAATACCTGACTATTGACCTGGGTCAAGTAATGAATATCACGGCTGTGGCAACCCAGGGACGAGCTCATAAGAATGAGTATGTTATGGAATATGGTATCAGCTATGGTACCAATGGTCTTGATTATGTGGATTTTAAAGAAGAATCTGGTAATATCAAGGTAAGTTACTCATTCCCTGAAAAGCCTCTTTATTTTCTTTTGCTTTTAATATAAAATGAAATATAATTATTTATATTTAATGTAGAAAATTAGCATGCGCATTGCTTAATACAGAACCATTAAAATAACATTGGAATTTAACTAGATTGTAGATAATTAACTTCAAATTAATCTGTAATTTCTTACTAATATTATTGATAAAATAATGTAATAAAAACAATTCACAATATTCCGCTATATAAATGCAAAGGTAGGTTCTCAATGCATGCCCTAATAATTTATATTTGCATGCTGCTTATCGGTTCATAACATCTAATTAATGTTCATCACATGCATCATAATATCACAATTAAATAATTATATATTTGGAAATTGATGGTAAGAATTCAATACGATTCTCATAGAAATATAATTGCTGTAACAAGCGGATAATTCTACTACAATTTTGATATATTCACAGTATTGTCTGCTATACTATTTGTAATTAATAATGCAATTCTATTTCTATAGTTTGCATCGCACTACTATCATTTAATAAATGATATAATATATTATGAACAAAGAGTACTATGAAAATATACACTCATTATCATTATTGTTAAAAATAATTGTATATTTTGATTGTCGATATAATCTTCATTATCACACGTGTCATATATCATTGATCTGCTTTGCTTTCACTCTACTTTTACATCCGGACACGGGGCTGGGCTTTACAGGGGATTCTGCGTGGTCACCAGAACTTAGCAGTTATGATCAACATCTTACTGTGGAACTGAGCGACAGGTACGAGATACGCAGCGTTGCGACACGGGGTCGCGCTCATACTAATGAATATGTGACAGAATATATTGTCCAATATTCTGACGATGGTCAAGCCTGGACTAGTTATGAAGGTCAAGATGGTGTAGATGAGGTATTGGATTAAACCAAAAAAAAAAACTAAAAGTCGAGATTTTTTTTTTTTTTTTTTTTTTTTTTTTTTTTTTAATACAGTACCCACATATTTGTTTTTCTGTAGGGTTTGATTAACATTTTTGGATTGATAAAACGTATTCCAATACATGATTTTTATTTTATCAATACATTCCTGTAGATCTTTTAATTATTCAATAAATAATATAAATAATTTTTAAGAAACTTTAATTTTTTTTTAATAAAAATCATTATTTATAATCTTTAAGTCTCTGGAGTTTTTCATTGCGCTTGAATGCTTTAATTAACAACTGGTATCCTAACAATACTAACAATATTTACATGCATGTTTCTTATCTGCTCATTATTATTTTAATCGTTTATGAATATGATTATTGCATAAGTCAAATTTGATTTAATATTATGCATAATTTTAGTATAGTAATATTTTATTTTTATTGTTCCTTCATTTTATACAAAATATAAACAATACATAAATTTATTTATCAATATGATAATTTGATTAAAATTATAATATATTTTTATAGATGTTCAAAGGAAATACAAATGGAGATACCATCAAACTTAATAAATTTGAAGTTCCAATAATAGCACAATGGATAAGAATAAATCCAACCAGATGGCGAGATAGAATATCATTAAGACTTGAATTATATGGATGTGACTATGGTAAATATTAAATTACAAAATAATATATAAACGCAATATGTGATATATGCAGCTGCAATAACTTTACTTCATATTTACAGAATCTGATGTATTATCGTTTAATGGATCATCTCTGGTTCGTTTAGATCTGTTGAGAGAACCGATTGAAACCGATAGACACTCTATACGTTTTCGTTTTAAAACTAACTTTGCAGATGGTATATTAATGTATTCGCGTGGTACGCAAGGAGATTTCATTGCATTGCAACTACGCGACAACAGAATGTTATTGAATATAGATCTTGGATCTGGTGTTATGACAAGTTTATCAGTAGGAAGTCTTTTGGATGATAACATGTGGCATGATGTTGTTATATCAAGAAATAGAAAAAATATTTCTTTCTCCGTCGATAGGGTATTAATAAAAGAAAGAGTCAAAGGAGAATTTCATCGTCTAGATTTAAACAGAGCGGTAAGTTTGATGTGTATAAATAAATTGTATGTGTAAAAGCATACACAATATTAATAATCATTTTTATTCTACTTTCACAGCTTTATATAGGTGGAGTACCTAACAAGCAAGAAGGTTTAGTAATAGGCCAAAATTTCACAGGATGTATAGAAAACTTTTATTTGAATACTACCAATATTATTCATGATTTAAAAGAAACTGAATATACAGGAGAAAATTTAAGATATCACAAGGTCCATGCGCTTTACAATTGTCCTGAACCTCCTGTCATTCCTATATCCTTTTTAACACCTGGATCTTATGCACGGCTCAAAGGTTATGAAGGAATTCAATCGTTGAACGTTTCACTTGGATTTCGAAGTTACGAAGATCGAGGAATAATCCTTTATCATAAATTTACATCTCCAGGATACGTTAAAGTTAGCATATTAAATATTTATTAATATATAATACGTGTTGATTCATAAAGAAGATACTATAGTTAATAATTTTCAATATTTTCAGCTATTCTTAGAACAAGGCAAATTGAAAGTCGAAATCGAAACGTCAAAAAGTGCGAAAGTAATTTTAGATAATTTTGAAGGAAAATTTAATGATGGAAAGTGGCATCAAGTGATTTTAACAATAGCACAAAATACTCTTATATTAAATGTTGATGATAGACCTATGAGAACTAAACGTCTTTTGGAAATGGTAACTGGACCAATATATTGGGTTGGTGGTATGACAGGAGAAGAAAGTAATCGTGGGTTTGTTGGATGTATGAGAATGATAAGTATTGATGGAAATTATAAAATACCAACTGATTGGAAAGAAGAAGAATACTGCTGTAAAAATGAAGTTGTTTTTGATGCTTGTCAAATGGTTGATCGTTGTAATCCTAATCCTTGTAAACATTCTGGTATATGCAGTCAAAATTCAGATGAATTCTTTTGCGATTGTACTCATACTGGTTACTCAGGAGCTGTTTGTCACACTTGTAAGTATCCTATAGTAAATCAATAATTATTTGTATTATTACTTAATATTATAAATATAATAAAATTATATATTATCTCTTTTTTTAATCAGCACTATATCCCTTATCTTGCGAAGCATATAAAAATATGAATTCAGTAAATCAAAGAGCAGAAATTAAAATTGACGTTGACGGAAGTGGATCATTAGCACCTTTTCCAGTAACTTGTGAATTTTTTGCCGATGGACGAGTAATGACAGTTCTAAGGCATAGTAACGAATACCCAACGCCTGTTGATGGATTTGAAGAACCAGGCAGTTTTATTCAAGATATCAATTACGATGCCGATCTTGATCAAATAGAAGCTTTCTTAAATCGATCAACGAGATGTAGTCAAAGAATAAAATACGAATGTAAACACTCGAAATTGTTTAATTCACCAGGTAAACATCAATTATTTCATTAATTATTCTATTTTCTCAAACTCTTAACATTATTCATATTAATTATTATTTATAGTTCCACAGAATGAGTACTTTAAACCAAATTCGTGGTGGGTAAGCAGGCAAAATCAAAAAATGGATTATTGGGGTGGCGCTTTACCTGGTTCACGTAAATGCGAATGTGGAATACTTGGAAATTGTGCGGATCCGAATAAATGGTGTAACTGTGATGCTGACTTAGAAGGTAGACTCGAAGATAGCGGTGATATTACAGAGAAGGAATATCTTCCTGTGAAACAATTACGTTTCGGAGATACTGGTACACCCTTGGATGAAAAAGAAGGCAAATATACCTTGGGATCACTTATTTGTGAAGGAGATGGTACGTAAAAATTATATCTCATCTTCTTATATGTTTCTTTTATAATTTTAGTTAATTCATTTTCAATTGTTTATAAGGATCTGAGTTACCTTGGTATTCTATTAAAGTAGGATCAGGTAAGAGTTAGGATAGCTAGAATGGATTAGAAATAATTATGATCAGTATTAATTTACGCATATAAGCTCTTTGACGTATTTGCGTCTTTCTACTGTGCATAATTTATTATACACAGCTATAATAAGCTAGTTTATCATGTTGTTTAACATATTTGATATCCGTATATTGCTATAATATTAATTATAAATGTGAACTCTTTAACTTGTCATAATTCTGTATTATTATTTTTGTTATAGATTTATTCCAGAATGTAGTAACGTTCCGCATTGTTGATGCTACCATTAATCTACCTACTTTTGATATTGGCCATAGTGGGGATATCTATTTCGAATTCAAGACGACTATTGAAAATGCTGTAATTATTCATAGCAAGGGTCCTACAGATTATATCAAAGTTTCTATAAACGGTGGAAACCAGATACATTTTCAATATCAAGCAGGTGGTGGACCACTTGCTGTAAGTGTTGACACATCTTATAAATTAGCTGACAATCGATGGCATTCCGTTTCCGTCGAAAGAAATCGTAAAGAAGCTAGAATAGTTATTGATGGAGCTTTGAAGAACGAAGTTAGGGAACCTCCTGGACCAGTGCGGGCGCTTCATCTTACTTCGGATTTGGTAATTGGGGCAACTGTTGATTATAGAGATGGCTTTGTAGGCTGTATAAGAGCTTTACTTTTAAATGGACAATTACAAGATATTAGAAGTTATGCAAGACGTGGACTGTATGGTGTTAGTGAAGATTGCGTAGGACGATGTGAGAGTAATCCGTGTCTTAACAATGGTACATGTCACGAAAAGTACAATGGATATTGGTGTGACTGTCGTTGGACTGCATTCAAAGGACCAATTTGTGCGGATGGTAAATTTCAATAAATTTTATACACATATACATATATTGATTTTTTTTTTGTCTTTTTTATTAATATTTGTTTGTTTTTTCTACGTGTGTGTTTCAGAAATTGGCGTTAACATGCGTTCAAACTCAATGATAAAATACGACTTTATGGGCAGTTGGCGTTCTACAATTTCCGAAAAAATTAGAGTTGGTTTTACAACGACTAATCCCAAAGGGTTCCTACTTGGTTTATTCTCGAATATTTCAGGAGAATATATGACGATTATGGTTTCTAACAGTGGTCATTTACGCGTAGTCTTTGATTTCGGTTTCGAACGACAAGAAGTTATATTTCCGTCGAAACATTTTGGTTTGGGCCAGTATCATGACGTTAGATTAAGTAGAAAAAATTCTGGATCAGTTCTCGTTTTGAAAGTTGATAATTATGAACCAAAAGAATTTCATTTTGATATTAAAACTTCGGCCGATGCTCAATTCAATAATATTCAATATATGTATATAGGTAAAAATGAATCTATGACTGAAGGATTTGCAGGTTGTATATCTAGAGTCGAATTTGATGACATATATCCTTTAAAGTTACTATTTCAAGAGAATGGTCCAGGAAATGTTAGATCTTTAAGTAATACACCGATTACAGAAGACTATTGCGGAGTAGAGCCAATAACGCATCCACCAAATATTGTTGAAACACGACCGCCACCTGATGTAGATGAAAACAAAGTTAGAGCGGCTTATAATGAAACGGATACTGCAATTTTAGGAAGTGTATTAGCTGTCATTATCATAGCTCTAGTAATTATGGCAGTACTTATAGGAAGATACATGTCGAGGCATAAAGGTGAATATTTGACTCAAGAAGACAAAGGTGCGGAAATTGCATTAGATCCAGATTCAGCGGTTGTACATTCCACAACCGGTCATCAAGTTCAAAAGAAAAAAGAATGGTTTATATAAATTCTATATAGAAATAATATAATTAACAAGTGCACGTTTATCTTTGGATACATTATTAAGAGAAAAAAAGTATACATAGCGAGATGAGAGTTCGAGATTTGTACTTTGTTTCTCTATTCCCATGTAATTATAAAGTTAATGCTAAGTATTTGATATATAGTAGAAATGGCTGTCTACCACTTCATACAGTTATAAGATAAATCAACGAAAACATTAATATAATCTCTATTATTAATGTTATTGACAAAGAATTTTCGTTTCAACGAGCTCAGAAAATAATAGAAGTAGAAATAATTGCCTTGATCAATAAAACGTAAAACTACCTGAGAAAATCTCATTAGCGCAGGGAAGAACGAGCCATATTTCTTTTTAATTGTGAAAATATGATTATTTTCTAAAGTTATTAATGGCTCAATTATTTCATATAAATACTTGTATGACTTATAAGTATTTATACTGTAATTATAGATATATGAATATTTATTAACTGTACATCTGGCATTATAATTAGTCGAAAAATATAATTTTTAATTATTAATCCAAGTCAAATAGCAGAAATAGTTCAATATTATTGATCCAGATTTTATTTTTCAATTTTTATATATCGTAACTTTTATATTAATTTGGAAACTAACTCTCGGAGACGTCGTTATTAAAGTATTTTGTGTTAATTTTGTTATGCCAGTAAATATCTAATTTTTTAATTTTTCGTACGATTCAAACGTTTTTGTCAATGTACAAAAGCCATTTTATTAGTTACGCATCTCTATTTCTTTTAATACTAACTCACAGTATTAGTTGTAATCTTTACCGTCCAAAGTGCATTTTTTTTTGTTTTTAATTTTATTTTTAATTTTAATTTTAATTTTGTTTTATTTTTATTCGTTAATTATATTTTTACACATTTTTAGTTTAGTAACTTAAGAAATATAAATCCACAATGATAACTTAATAATTAACTTAGTATACTATTCTTAATATACTCAAGTATTACGATGGAAATGTATGTACATATGACATTTTTATATGAGCAACTTTGATTATTTTTATCATTAAACTGTATTTGATAAATTGTAATTAGAACATGGCATTTATTGTCAAATAAAGGCGAACATACCGCAAAAAGAGAGTATCGACAAATAACAAATTTTATTCGTACTTTTTTCCCTTTAAATTGTTTTACATAGATATATGTATAGTTTTAAAAGCTTAATATAAAATAAATAAAAGAAACTTTTTTTTTATAATATATTTGTCTTTTATATTACTTACAAACGCTCGTAATAATAAATTTAATAAAATATTTATCAGTCAACTGATGATACACATGTAGTAGAAAAAAATTTATGTCGGTACAAAAATAATATAAATCTTTTTATACTTGTTAAACAAGAGTATTAAATTATAAAATTAATATATAAGGAGACCGCTCTCTATTTTTAAATCATTTTTGTATATAATCTATCGACACAAATGGAAGTGCAAAAGAAAATATTTTTTTTTATATATTTGTATGCAGGCAAGTAAAGTGCCAGCAATAAGGGAAAAACTTTCTATGCAAATGTAAAATTTACAAAAAAAATGTGCTATGTACTATAACCTTTCAATTTCACAGTGAATATTAAGTACCTTATTCATTTAAAATATAGTATATAATACATATTTTTAAAACATTTACTAAAAATATATAAACATATATTCAAAAATGTATATTATATGTGAATTAATCATTAATACTAGAAACAACACTGTTACTTGTCTCGGATGATGATTGTAATTTTGTCATATCAAGTAGATATTCCGAATCTAAACAAATAAAAAGAAGAGAAAATAAAAATAGTGCAATATAGTAAAACATATACATAAATGTATGCTATACAAAAAGATGAAGTATTACCAGATTCGTTATCACTGAGTTCACGTGGCGATAATTTACATCCTTTTGCTAAATAATGTTTTAATTTACCAATACTGGCTAAAATTAATCCTAAGAAAGGAGGCGATGGTTTTAAAGGCCTGGATAAATATTCTGGGTGAAACTGAGTAGCAACATAATAACTCTTTTCGTATAATTCTAATATCTCCATACGATCATTATTTTCATCTCTACCTAATATATGAAATTGATATTTGTTAAGTATTTAAATGAGGTACAAAATATAGTAAGAGTTATTAATGATTCGATAATGATTATTTAGATAAACTTACCCACAAATGTTAATCCAGCATCTTCTAATATTTTAATGTATTGTGGATTTACTTCGTACCTATGTCTATGTCTTTCTTCAATATAATCTTTGTTTCCATACAATTGTTCTATTAAATTATATAAATATGATGAAATGAAGAATAAGTTAAGAATAAGTTAATCATAATGATAAATTTGAACTTACTTAAAATAGAATTTTCACCAAGTTTAAAATAAGTAGTTCTTTTTCCAAGTCTCATAGTTCCACCCATCTGACCTGGATTATGCTCTGGCATGTCTATTATAAATGGATCAGTTGTGTTTGCGTCAATTTCTGTACTATTAGCCGTTGGAATATCTAGAACATTTCTTGCAAATTCTATAACTGCGACTTGCAATCCCAAGCAAATTCCTAAAAATGGTACATCATTTGTTCTGCACCATTTACATGCTTCTATTTTTCCTTCTGTGCCTCTTTTACCAAAACCACCAGGAACTACCACACCACTGTTAAGTTAAAGTATTATATGATATTTTGTATTATATTCTTATATATTTTAACAGAAACACATGATAAACAATTTTAATCTTACTTGCTTTTGCAAAGCTTTTGCCAAGTTTCATGATATAAAACAGGATTATCTAATTTGGTGGAGTTTTCTAGATTAGCAGCTTCTATAAACTAAAATAATTATTTATTTAGAAAAACATATGTGACAAAAACAGCACGTGACAACAAAAAATACTTTACCGTTAAATTTAAACGATAGCCAACTTGCACAGAAGCATGTTGTAATGCTTTTATAACAGAGGCATATGAATCTTCTAATTTGGTATATTTGCCTACTAAAGCAATATTAACATCTTTTCTTAGATGATCAATTCGATCAGCCAAGTCTTTCCACTTACGCATAAAATAACGTGGACGTGGCAAAATATTTAATTGTAATCTATCGCTAAGGAATTCTATAACACCTTGATTTTCCATAAGAAGAGGTACGCGATAAATAGATGACAAATCATGGATAGTAATAACCTGTCAAAAAATTATTTCAGTTATCTTTTAAATTTCTATATATATATATATACTTACAGTTAATATATTTATTAAAAAGAAGAAGAAGACGAAATGATTACTTGATCTGGCTGTACATGACAAAAACTTGAGATCTTGTCTTTGATTGCGTTGCCTATTGGCTTTTCAGATCGACAAACTATTAGATCAGGAGATAATCCTAGACCACGCAATTCTCTTACACTCGACTGAGTTGGTTTAGTCTTTGATTCTCCAGTACATTGTGGCTAAAATGAATAACATTCTATTAATCTATACATTTTTAATTAAATATTAACTCATTTATTGTTATATCAAAATCATTTACGTCATTACTAATCCAAAAATAATACTACTTGGTATTTTGGCGCAAGTTCAAGGACTTGTACTATAATCAAAAAAAGAAAATAATTTTAAATCAAGTTCTTATGTACCTGTGGAACTAAGGAAACATGAGCGCAACAAAAGTTTTCCCTTTTAACTTTGAATTGAAATTGCCTAAAAGCTTCTACAAATGGCATCCCTTCGATATCTCCAATTGTTCCACCCAATTCAACGATACAGACCTAAAATTATAAAAAGATTCTAAAATGTTATCATGTATTAAATACTAAATCAGGTACTTAAGATAAATGTTTCATAAATATTTATTACATCTGGTTTATCACCATCTTCCGATACTGATTTATTGGCAACTTCTTGAACCCATTCTTGAATAGCATCAGTAATGTGTGGAACAACTACAAAGAAAATTTTACATTATTTATAAGCTTATTTAATTTATCCTACACACAAAATGATAAGAATTTCTTTTTATACCTTGTACTGTCTTGCCCAAATAATCGCCTTTTCTTTCTTTGGTAATAACATGTTGATAAATTTTTCCCGTAGTAATATTATTTTCCTTGTGCAATATAATGTCTAAGAAACGTTCATAATTTCCCAAATCTAGATCTACCTCTCCACCATCGTCAAGCACATAAACTTCTCCTATAAATGAAACATCATTGCACACATTAGTTTTATTCTCGGTAATAACGCTTGACATAGGACACCTATGGTAAAACAATGGAAGAATAACTGGTATTCGTAATAAAAATCAATAAACAAGTCTCTGTTCGAAACAATCTCAAGAAAATTAAATTGAAGAAAGCCAAAGAGAAGCAAGAAATATTACTCTATAAACATCATTCAAATAGAACTTTAAATAAAGAAAAAAGAACATTTAGATTAATATCTTAAATAATTTAAACATCCACAACGTTCTCTCTATTATATTTAAATATATTTCAACGAAACTGATAAAATACCCGATCGAGTAATTAAAAATAATTAAAATAAAGTAAACATCAAAATGACTAAATGCATCATACATTAAAAATTAACAAAGAAGATAAAATAAAATAGAAAAAAATCAAACTATTGATACAATCCTTTAAGTTTATCGTAATTTAAATGCAGTGCGTTAAATTAGTGGAATTAGCGCGGTAAAGGAAATTAGTTGGACATTTAAAAAAAAAACAAGTTTAAAGAAAAAGCACGTGGTCATGGGAACGAAGGCGGGTAGAATAATACAATATGGCTACTAACAGTCCACATGTTTCCTGCTTAATAGAACTTATGCAAATAAAGAATCTATCAATGAATGTCGCAAAGATATGAAGGAAAAAATGAACAAAAAATAAAAATAAAGTTAGCTTGTTTTATTTTTTTTACCATGCTCGTACGGTGAAAAAGTACCAGCATCTATATTTATGTATGGATCTATTTTGATAGAAGTCACTTGAATACCGCAATGTTTCAATATTGTGCCAAAAGAACTGGCTATAACACCCTTTCCTACACCACTAATAACACCACCAGTCACTAAAATATATTTCATTGTTTTGAATTATAATTAAATTTCTTATTTATTTAACAGAATCTTTGTTAAATAATACACAACACATAAAACTTCACACCGGCAGATTACATTAACCAACAGTATATACCGGCAGCATGAGCTTTGGTCTGCACTTAATATTATCATGAAAGCACACCAATATCTATAAAAAAAAATTTCTATATTTCTTGTAGAAACCAACGGAAAGTCTTTAGTACTTTTGTCTCGGAGCATTATCGATACCTCGCAAGGATCGATTCAACATTGCACATATTAACCAATAAGTTAAAACTTTTTACTGGCGCGCATACGCATTACTTATAAATGTTCTACGATTACTCATCAAATTTTTTTCTTTTTATTCGATATTTAAATTTATCTTATATTTACATATGTGTCAATTATTTCCTCGTAATTATAATCTTTAAAATTAAATAGAGAATTGCTATAATTCTATAGATAAGTTTATACGAAAAAATCAGAATAAATGACATAATTTTGACAAGGTGTTATTGAAAGCTCTTACAAAATGAATGTGATTTTTATCTACTTCGAAATACATTGAAGATCCTGATCTTTAAAAATTTGAAATATTTGTAATAGCTTTCTTACTTCGCGATGGCTAAAAATTTAACAGCAAAAATCGGACCTTCAATTTTAAATGCTAATTTAGCACAATTGTCTGAGGAATCGCAACGTTTGTTAAATAATGGTGCGGATTATCTTCATTTGGATGTAATGGATGGTCATTTCGTTCCTAACCTTACTTTTGGCCATCCTCTTGTAAAATGTCTTCGTAGTAATATAAAAGATGCATTTTTTGAAACACATATGATGGTCTCTAATCCGGAACAGGTATTCATTTGTATTCGTTACATTTTCTTGTATTCATCTCTTGAATGTATAATAATGTTATTCTTGTAATAACAATTAGTGGATCGAACCAATGGCCGATGCTGGTGTGAATCAATATACATTTCACGTAGAACCAGTTAAAGATGTTCCATCAGTTTGTAGGAAAGTTAGAGAAGCAGGAATGAAGGTAAATGTTTTGTAATACTTTTTATGCGATATCTGATTTATGCATGATAGATAAATTGTTTTTTCAAAAGGTAGGGGTAGCACTTAAACCAGGTACGCCAGCAGATGTAATTGTTGATTATGTTGATTTAGCTGATATGATATTAGTTATGACAGTCGAACCAGGATTTGGAGGACAAAAATTTATGGAGTCAATGATGCCAAAAGTAGCATGGCTTAGAAAGAATTATCCTACTCTAGATATTGAAGTTGATGGCGGAGTTGGTCCAGCTACTATAGAAGCTTGCGCAAAGGTGTCTTGAAATATATTCAATTTGATTTTTAGTTATAATATAAGGTTCTAACATTCATATTTTTCTAGGCTGGTGCAAATATGATAGTATCTGGAACAGCGGTAATTGGTGCTACTGACCAGGCAAAAGTTATAAGAGATTTGAAACATGCTGTTAATTGTGTATTGAATAATTAATATGATAGGGAAAATAAATGTTATTAGTAACATTTTGTAAATATATTTTATAAACAAAAATTTAATGAAATGTTTTTGAATATTATATTTTGTTACAATGATAATATAAACATCAATGTTATTTAATCTTCAGCAAAGCTACCAAATTGAGCATTTGGTAGTACAGGATTTTTGGGGTGTAATTTAGTCCTCAGTTCTGCAAGAGAAAGTAAAAGAGCTTCTTCTGTTCTAATAGTTCTCGACCCTTGTTGGGGACATATATTTAAATATTTATGAAACACAGATGATGGATCTTCGTTTGGCAATTTCGGATCAACTTCCAGTGCAGCTTCTAATCCTGATAATCCTCCAAAAACTATTAAAGCATGGTCATACTTTAAACTTTTTGGTGATATATTGTCAATGGATGTTCCTTTATCAGAAGTACCAATAGTCAAATCGTATCCTTCCTTATAAGAACATTTTGTAAACACTTCTGAAAGATTCTTAGCTAATTTAACATTGTATCCCCAATATATTCCTGTCTCCAATTTTGGCTCTGTCGGAGATACTATAATTCCTTTCATTTTCTTCGGATTTTGTTGATCTGGTGGTATTTTAACGGTAACTCTTAATCCAGGCATCAATACTTTATCCACTCTAACATCATTGAGAAGTCCTACATTCACTAGAGAACCTTTCCCAGTTTTCACTGGTTTATTACTAACTACACCCTCACGGTAAAGCGATACATCTTGTTGTCTGAAATGATGGGGAGCATCTAAAGGATTCAATAAACCTGCATACTGTAAATCCTTGTGCAGACGGAAGAAGTGTTTCCTCAGATACTGTGGACACTCCAAGTATTGTAATATTCTGACTAATTGTAAACAACAAATTCTCCCTTCCGCAACATCATCTACTCTAACTTTCTTCTTCTCATTTTCAGTGATCTCACCTTTGTCATCGAAAACAACTATCTCATCAACTTTGTAAATACATGCTGCACGTGCTATTTGTCCCGCAAGATACGTTCTCAATTCAACAGATTGTGCATTATCTAAAATAGAGCCAGGTACTGCAATGGTTATCGTAGAAGTATTATTTATCTTAATTTTCTTTTCAGTATTTTCTTTCTTTGTCTCATTTTCATTTTCCATTTCCTTTTCCTTCTCTTCTTTTTTTAATTTTTTTATTAACCTCTCCTCTTTCCATTGCTTTCTCTGTTCTTTCTGCAATCGATTATATTCTTTCCAAGTTTTTACTTGTGATATTTTCGGCGTATTATTTGGATCTGACATTATTTTCACAAGAGATAATATTAAATTAAATAAAAAACAAAACACAATACGGAGTTCAAATACATAAACAAATGCGCGCGAAATGGTTTATTAGGTTTTGTTTATTTAGGTTACAAAATTACTCTCTAAAATTCACAGTATGTGCAAGCATCGCGCACTTTTACTTCAATGTATAGATAGCGTAATATGTATAATAAATGTGGCCGTCACGCCAAAGCTTGGCGCCTCCGGCACTCTTACCGTCACGCTCCTAGTGGCGAAACAAAAGAACTAAAAAAAACACCACGCATTTGAACAACCGCTGCTATTCGCTCTCTTCCGTTCCAACCACCGAGCTAGACACACGCGTACTCATGAGCAGTAAACAAAGACGTGAAACTAGTCACTACTTCCTTTTTACTCTTTAAGATTTTGTTAAGTTTGTTATATATTTTGTACAAGACCTTTTTGATACGTTTTATAATAAAATATTTATATAATATTTTTCCCTAGTGAATTAGTGATTTCCTAATATAATTGAACACGCTACATAAATTCATATAAAAATATTCTTAAAATGAAGGCGTGTCTTGCGTGAATATTGCTTAATTAAACAAATTAAAACAAAATAAAGAGTAATAAGATTATAAAAAATAATTTGCTAGGTGCTAGGGACTTTCCATTTGGCCCCTAAAACATTAATAAGGTTGGTAAACATTTCGACATTACTTATTGTTAATTGGTACATTATAGAGTGTTTACTTGTTTGAACATAGTAGTTGTGAATAACTATCAATAATATATTTATTTTCTCTTTCATCTATCTGTGCGTTTATTATAATTTAATTAATATTAAATATAATTTATATATATAAATTTATAATAATTGATTATAAAATATTTAGAAATAAATTAAAGTAGGATAAAAAGAGGTTATGTCTGCGGAAGAAAATTTCGAACAGGTAAATTTTAATAACTTTTAACTTAACACACACACAACTTAATTCAATTATAAATTATTATTAAAAGCTTCCATTAGATAATAGTTAAGCTATTAACATAATTCCATTAATATGTGTATAGTTCGAAGATGAAGAGGCTGAAATTGCTATCGGTGGTACATTACCAGGAGGTAGGAAACGTTTATTTTCAAAAGAACTTCGTTGCATGATGTATGGCTTTGGTGATGATCAAAATCCTTATACCGAGAGTGTTGATCTACTCGAAGACCTGGTCATTGAATTTATAACAGAAATGACTCACAGAGCTATGGAAATTGGACGTACTGGACGCGTACAAGTAGAAGATATTGTTTTCTTAGGTATGTTTCAATTATACTATTTTGTTCTTTCTTTGAGTATAAAAGAAAATATTTCGATTATAAAGTATTCATGTCTGTATGTCTTTGTTTATTTAGTTAGGAAAGATTCACGCAAGTATGCCAGAGTGAAAGATCTCCTAACGATGAATGAAGAATTAAAGAAAGCAAGAAAAGCATTTGATGAAGTTAAATATGCAGGTACTGTTAATCAGTAGAGTTATCTTTGTATTTCATGGTATTTCATTTCATTTATGCAATCTATGTGATTTTCTATTATATTTTTTTTTATTAAAACAACGAGAGTACCACAGTGGGTATATAAAAAGAAGTTTTAAATTCATATAGATTGCAAGTTATTAAGCTTAAGCATAATAAGTATCATAGCAAGATTATGTTTGAGTTTTTCTATAACATTGTTTGGTTTATGCAATTATTCTTAACATGTTCACTACTGCACCATGGAGAAGAAATTTCTATCACAGACCAGAATTTATTTGTCATTCTTATTACCGTTACAAATGTGTGACGCTGAGCTCTCAATGGAAATCGGTGTGTCACTTGTAGTGAATGTGTTAATGAGCTTAAAAATGTAGATTATTGGTTTTTTTAAATTTGTTTAATTTGTTTTTTTTGAGATGGAAAAAGTTTACGTATCAAAAGTATGTGATATTGAACATTATATGAGCCATTTACAGATCAAAGCAATCAACTTCACTTGTAGAATTTTTTAAAATTTTTGTGCCACTTCGTTGATGCATAATTTTTCATATTTAAAATACATTTTCTTAATAATGAGCTTAATGCCATTAAATATACTAAAATTTAGTATGGCTGTTGAACAGTAAATGATATGACAATGTATGCAACTTTATCAATTCTCTTTACTTTTGGTTTCATAGAGCTAATCAATTTGGTACACGAGCAGCTCATATAGTAATTTTTATAATACAAATGTTTTTTATCTTTTGATTTCTGCATGTTACTTTGCATGTCTTAAACATGTCCATGCTTTTTATGTTTACATTCTATAAACATGCAAAGACTGGATATTCTTTAGTTATTATTCAAGGGAAAAAAGTAAAATTTAAAAAAATAAAAAAAGTATTATTATTTAGTAAAATTGCATATATATTATGCTTTTTAATATTTATATTGTTTTCCAAACAATCAAATTAAATTCTATTATACTATTTCTTAGTAATATTTTAAATATATTATGTTTCTACATTTTATTTCGTTAAGTAGTTAATGCATAAGAAACGCACATGTACATAAAGTATAAGGTATTGTTATTATTTGCTGTAATAAATTGTTTGTAAATTTGATTGATTATTTATTTGATTAGAGATATCATATTTTTGTTTATTTATTATTTACACAACTAAATCTTTTTTAAAGGCTTTTTTTAAACTAGCTTATAGAATAATGCATGTTTTCTATTTTATTATTTTATTTGTAAAAAAGTAAGATGTTCGCAACGTGACTAGTGCTAGAAAGAATGCTGTACAAAATTATTACAGTTTCATCTTAATGTTCATTTAAATGTTGCACAATATCAGAAACAGCTTCTTTTGCTGACAGAATAACGTCATTGATTCCGACACCTTGATAAGAAGAACCACACAATGCTAGAGGGATTCTACGTGAAGAAATATAATCACGGATATGATTTAAACGTTGTGAGTGACCCACTACATGTTGGGGAATACAATCCTTTAGAATGGCCACGTTAAAAGTTACCGGATCTTCTTTAATATTCAGGATTTCTTTAACTTGTTTAATTGCTATATTCAACAAATTTTCATCTGTTGGATTTCTGCCAAAGTATTTTTCAAACCATGCACCACCCATCATTACTGTTAGTACCTGGTTATTAAATATCTTACATGTAAATACAGAATTGAACAATTTTCTAGTCTAATATAGATTTATAAATATAGATAAAGTTTTACACAAGTTTTTATACATTTCAATAAAGTTCTTAATTTGATATTCAATAAAAGAAAGTAATTTAAAAATGTGTTTACTGATAAATCTAATGTCAATGTAAATAAAATTTTATCTATTTTTTACATACCGTTGAAGAATCTTTAGGAAAAATACATGAGTCAAATATCACACCAAGAATTGGAAGATTTTCTCTTGGTGGAACAAGAAAACCAAAAGCATCCATAGGCAACACATTATCTGCAAATTGAAGATTAACTACAGCCACCGTGACCATAGGTATTGCTTTTAATTCTTTTGCTAAATCCGGATGTTGTTCCTCCAGCAATTTAGCTAGTGTTTTTGCTGGTAGACTCGAGATAATTTGAGAACATTTTTTTACTTTTCCATTAATAGTTAATTCAACATGATCGGATTGAAAAAGGAGTTTTTCGCAGTAACTATTTAATTGTATATCAACGCCTCGAGTCAGTAAATTATTTCTTAGAGAACGTGGTAGTTCTTCGAGTCCTCCTTTTAAACCGCATACTACCCACTTTTCTGTCTCAGCCACTTTAGCCAAGTTTGATCTATATTCTGTCTTATTAACATTTTTCTTTTTAAGAAATTCTTTGAATAAACCTTTTGCTATAGATCCATGTTTTTGTTCCGCCTCAAATAAAGATTTCATTAGAAAGTTAACACTTATCTTCTGCGCATCGCCAGCACATATTCCGCAAATCATAGGGCTAATAAAATAATCGGCAATATCTTTTCCTAATCTTCTCTCAACAAAACTGTATATACTTTCATCATCCTTACGAACCATTGGTGCTCTCAAGTCTTTAGCAAGAAAACTTACTAAGGAACGATTAAATAAAGAATTAGTCTTAATTATACTAAGAAAAGAATTTGGCAATAAGTGTAACTTATTACGCGAATAAATCATTCTATTCTTAGCACCAGGGTGATATAATTTAATAGAGATAAGTTTATCAGTTAATTGTAAATCCTCCAATAAATTTAATGTATTTTTTCCAGCTGATCCTAAACATCTTATGGTCCTTGGTCCTTTTTCAAATATTACCCCATTTGATGATTCATGACTTCGTATCCATCCTCCTAAACGATTAGATGCTTCGAACAATGTTATTGGATTAATTTTCGGATTGTTTAGTGCATAATATGCAGCTGATAAGCCTGATATACCTCCACCAAGCACTACCGTCATTTTGATATAAGTGCACGGTTAAAATATTAATTTGAATGCATTCAATATAAGGTTAGATTATCAATGATAAATCTTTCATTTTCCTTACGATACATAATCGAGTCATTTCATTATTTTACATATTTTTAGTCTATATATATCTATATCATAATGTTTTTTTGTTAATAACTTATAAAAAGAATAATATATCGAGATAACTTATAAAAAAAACTAGTTCGTTCTGATTGGTTGAATTCACAAGTACATATCGTTTTTTATTGGATAAAAATGATGCCTTTATTATTTCGATTCGAGAATCGAACCAATCAATTTTAAGTTCGATTTCAAAGTTATAATGGTTTCAATATACTTATATGATTTTTGTATTTTAACAAAATCTAAAGTATTTAATCAATAACAATTGTAATTATCATTGGTAAAATATATTTGATTGTCTTATCTAAGGTTTAACTATTAAGGTTTATTTGAAGTGTCATGTTTTAATGAATAAAAGGTTCAATTTGAACATTGAGCTTTCGATCTTGTATGAATATTATTCGTTGAAAAATTAGGGGATGCACGTTAAACAGAAAGAAATATAAATTTCGTCATGACATGTTAGAGAATAATTCATTTATATTGCGTTTGTATTGATATTAAATATACTAGTTAAAATTAAGGATGCATGAAATTTACAGTTCATTTGATTTTCATTAGCGTCATGCTGAGAAACTATATTTGTACACAAAAATCAATCAATTCGTAGGTAGCTTTCGGAGACACAACACGATAAAGTGGAAAAGAAATTTTGAATTATGTTAGTGATCAAATAGCAACATCAACAACGTATTTAACATACATGTGTACTGTATGTACTGTAAAGTCGATAATTCGGTGGAAGGAGATATTGTTATGAAACGAAAATTGTAAGGATTCTTAGCAACTTATGGTTTATATATACTGCACAGTTTCGTCTTGTCGGTGACTCAAACGGAAGTGTTTCTTCTTAATTGACATTCAGGATATATTTGAATATATTTATTTAGTATAGATCTCACATATATCTTCAAAATTTTGAAATTATGGAGAATGGAAGCAAGTTGTTAATTGTTCTTTTAAAAGTATCTGAAAAAGCTGCTAATATTGCTAGAATATGTAGACAAAATCAATCATTGTTTGATCTTCTGGTTCAAGAAAAATCACAGGCAGAGAAAAATCCAATCTTTAAAGATTTTAAAACTTTGGCCGACGTTTTGATTCAAGAAACTATTAAGCATGATATAGCATTAGAGGTAAGGCGACTAGATATTTTATCTGTGAATATTTTAATAGGATAAAGTTAAAAGATTATTATCTAGTTTTTATTCCATTATGATTAATATATGATTTATGTAAAAGTATGTAAATAGAAAGTTTTGCAGAAATCGTTAGTTTTCAGAGTTAGCGAAGGTTGTACAAGGTGAAGAAAACAATACGTTTACCAATGTACTTGGAGAAACAATAGTTGTGGAAGTATGTTCCACTTGTTTGGAAACAACTAATCTATTAGCTAAAGTCATGGGTAATGATACAGAAACAGCTAGTTTTCTTGCGGAAGAAGTTCATAAGCAAATTCGACTGAAAGATGTGAATACCGTGCATGATATTCCTAAACATTTACCTCTACCTATAGAAGATCTTGGTATATGGATAGATCCAATAGGTAGGGATTTATTAACAATGGTCATTACATGCAATATAGATGAAACAATTAGTAACATTGTTATAGATGCAACTGGAGAGTACGTGAATTCTGATGTAAGCAAAATAAAAGGGTTAAATTGTGTTACAGTATTAATAGGTGTATACCTTAAAAGTACAGGATTACCAGTGTTAGGTATCATAAATAAACCATTTGATAAGTTACGTGAGAATCAAAAGTGAGTAGATCGTTTTAGAAGAATTTTTATTTCTTTTAAATAATACGTGTAAATTCTAAAGATATTATTTTGGCAGATGGAACGGTTTGTGTTATTGGGGATATTTTAACACTGATATTAGCTTATGTTGCTCAAGCATTGGTAGGAGTTTTCTTAATGATACAGATGAGACATGTAAAACGATACTTGTTGGCCGATTTGAAGATGAAGATTTAAAATCTAAGCTTAGAGAGGCAGGTTTCATATTAATGGAACAAGCTGGTGCTGGAAATAAATCATTAAACGTTGCTTTAGGCATGGCTGCTGCTTATGTACTTTCAAAAAATTCTACTTACAAATGGGATACGTGTGCTCCGCAAGCTATATTACGAGCTTTAGGTGGAGGTATAGTAGATTATCAGAAATTTGTGAAGTGTAAAGTTTTGGATGATTTGGATGTAAAATATGTTACTACTAGTGATAATGCAGCAAATAGCGGTGGAATAATAGCATATCGTAATATCGAAATGTTACTTACTTTGAAACAAATTCTATTTTAAAAATGAAATCTTATTAGATATAATACTTGGCAAAGATTTTTTCTTGATATATCTTATTGTTATGTATTCAGAGTCTATATGTATACTATTTTTTTTTTTTCAATGAGCTGGAATAAATGTTTAAATTAAACGTCGAAATTATTCGCATCGTTTCAAATGAATAAAATATAAATGTATGAACTTATATAAGGATGTGTATATTTTTATTATGTCAAATTATTTTCTAATCTGCTGTTTGATTAAGACTATTGTTTATAGCAAAGGTCGCGCGTTTTATTGCCTTATAGATACACGTACATTTTAGTACATGCATAGATGCACACAGAATGAAACAACAATCAGTGAAGGAAATACATACATACAGATAAGATATCGAAGTTCATTGTATCTGATTTGTTTCTTTATTTTTTCCACTTTTGTTTTTAATTTATATTATTTTTTATCATATCATTTTATATCGTGTTTTTGCGTAATTCGAAAATGTTAAGAAAAAACATGAGAAAAAGAATTTACTTAAATGATAATTCCTACAAATATTATTCGCTTAATTTTTTCGATATATGAAAATAGACATATATATTTACAAGAAGGAACTTGATACGTAAGAGCAAACACTCGAAGCGATCTCATTTTCTTTTTTAATCAATTAGCATGTCGTCAAATAATTGAAACGAAATTTTCTTAGAAGGTACAATCGAAAATAATGTTAATCTTTCGATTGTTTTCTCTAAAATATGCAAGGGAAAGTACATATAAAAAAGAAAGAGACTTTGTGACTAGTTACTCGATTACACAAATTCATATTTCCTGGCAAACCTTTTGTTTCCTGCCTAAAGCATTCAAACTTTGAAAGAAAGTTTTTTTTTTATCTTATTCTTTTTTCTTTTCTTTTCTTGTTGTTTCTTTTTTATATCTGTTCCTCCAAATGGGAATGGAGTTTTATGACTTGTTGAGATTGTAGGATGTTCGCTCGCAAAGATTCGTTGTTTGTAAGGTGGTATTTCTCGCAGGTATTCCTTGACTGCCATTGGTTTTGTGTCTTACACTGACGTAAGTTGTGCACGTATTTTTTCGCTGTAATACGAATTGACCGGATCCTTCGAGATCTGAAAATAAACGAAATAAAAAGAAATCAATATTTGGAGCAGTTCTGAATTTTTTGGAGGGTTTTCTTTTATTTTTGTTTGTAATTTTTCTTACCTGTCATAGGCATACCGACCACACTGGTATTGTATCTATGATTTCCTCGATTAAATACGAATTTACGCAAATATGGTAAACGTCCGAATGCAGCAATGAAGCCCGTACGAAATCTGACGTTCATCCAACAATAAATCACTGGGTTGTAACAGGAATGTGACATTGAAAGCCAATGAAGGGCTGCCCATACGAAAGGAAGACCCGACCAGTTGTAGAGACTTTTGTCAAAGTCTAACGCTATCTGACAGTCAGATTTAAACGAACGATTAGAACTATTTTCCTATTCTAATAAAAACAAAATTTGTCTTTGTTTTATAAAAAAACAGTGTGCATTAATACTTATATACTTTGTAACGAAAAACTTCGAAGAGAGAAGAAGAAAAAAGGAAATAAAAACAAAAATAATTCAAGACAAATAACATTTTCTGTCTTCTTGGGCTATAATAATAATTGTTTTATAAGTATTAACAAAGTTTTACCATTTTTTGCGTGATAAATTTTAAACGAAGTCAAATTTTCAATTAGTATAGTTTTGATTAACTTACGTGGAAAACGTTGAAAGGTAACCAACACATGGTGAAGACTAATACCACGGTAATCATCATTTTCACCATCTGTAACAGAGAAAGTTGGTCAAAAGTTGGTAATACTCGATCAATCAAAAAATGATTTTTCAATCGATTTTAAATTGAAGCAACCCTTTATGGCAAGTAAGTAATTTCGGTTTTGATTGTAGGAAAGTTCAGCGATTAAAATTAAAGTGATTAGATAGTCGGATTTTAATTGAAAGCTCGATCTGTCGAATTCGTATGAGAGAGAGAGAGAGAGAGAGAGAGAGAGCTTTTAATGGAATACAGTTTCAAAGGGTTCACGCAACGAGAACTGCCAATTCGAAGGAGTCACTTTCGAGTGATTAGAATCGATCGAATTAGAATGTCTTTGCCTTTTCGGCAAAGTGGAGCGAGATCAAGACAATTATTGTGACGCGATAATGATGATGGTTTCATCTAATAGTATGCTGTATTTTCTTATCGATATATTTGTCAATTACGTAAATATAATAGCCTTTTATTCCGTGATAAAGTTTCAAAACGATTATGCTAATTTCAAATGAAACGATATTATTTATCAAATCGACGAAAAATATAATACAAATAGAATTTCAATCTATTTTATTTATATTATCTAATCGTCCGATAATATAAACGTCCTTTCATTTGTCATGAGCAAAATACTCGTTTCAATCTGATCATTCAAATCCTGAAAAAGTCTTGACAAATACCTCATTCAAATATCTCATTTTGGAATAAAATTTGGAATAAAACATTGATCGTGTATCCCAATGTATATGGCTCTTTTTTTTATCGTTCGTTGTTTTATGGGAAAATTTTCGTATAAGTTCACGGAAAATCCCATGAGGATGTTTTCCTTTTGATGTCGTTGTTCACGCAACATCAAATGTGAAAGAAGAAAGTGAATTTCTCTCTCTCTCTCTCGCTTTCTATGGCGTATGTGTGTGTGTGTGAGTGGGAGAAGAGGGAAAATATATAGCAGGATCTAGTGTATTACGTATAATACATACACGTTGTATGTGTTATACAATAATATAATAAAAGGAAAGAGGAGAGTAAAAAAGAATTGAAAATAGGAAAAGAAGTGAGGATGCTTGAGAAAGTATGTTGCTCTTAAAATATTTATGTTGCTTTTGACTATTAGTTTTTAGACAAAAATACTCTTATTTTTGTAATTAGGAATTAGTAATTAGGAATAGTATTTTTCGTAATACTTTATCTTTCGTAAAATTATCGATAGAATTTCAAGAAAATATATTTTTGTTTTCTAATCATCATAGAAAAATGATTATCAAGGAATTATTAATTATTAGCTTTACATAGCATATATTTTAGGTCCTTGATGTAGAGTAATATGATGTGTGACGTTCCGTCACGACAAAATCGTTTTTTTTCAACATTCTTTCCCTTTGACCTAGACAAGTCGCTCACGCATTAATCAAAAATGCAACGCAAACATAATGTTTGAACTCTCCTTTGCGTAGTAACAAAATATGTGGTAATGTAATCACCACACACGCACCATATCAAAGGATGTCTGTTATCAATTCTGTAAGTAAATTATTCTGTTATTAAATATTTGTGTGGATGAACCAGAGCACCGGTGAACTACTGTCTTCACAACCCAAATAAAATTCCTCGATCCATCGTTATTCATCCAATCCATTCAAAAATTTTCCGTAATCAGCCATTTTTTATGTTGTTATTTAATCTTCGGGAAAAACGAAGTTGCCTGGTTTTGGCTAAACTCGGTGAATGCAGAGTGGCTAAAACAGGGCCAACGACTAAATTCTAATACTCTCGTCTTCGAGACGTAACAGATGTCTTAAAGAACTTCATGTGAAAATGATGTTGTAAAAAAGAAAAGCGAGAGAAAGAGACGAAGGGAAAAAGAATAATTTCGATTAATCTCGACTCGATATTGGTCTACACCACGAAGAAGAGATGATCGAGAATAGCTGGGAAAGGAATAGAAACTGCGATTGATAAAGGACCTTTGATGTTAAAGGATCTCAATGGCTGACAACATAGTTTGCCAACGATTTTCGATAAGGCCGAGTTTTATCACTTTATCCAGGTAATCTCGACTTTATTTTCTCTTTTTTCTATTTCTTTCTCGTTTAAATTCCATTCATAGGATTTCAATTGTACTTTACGATGATTCGATATCGTCGGTATTATTTTTACTACTCTTTTATTTTATATTATCATTATTAAAGGATTTGATTATATATTGAAGATAAAAGAAAAAATATAATTTAAATATTATACCGCTTTAGAGAGACAATTGTTTCAATCGTTTATCCTGCTTGGAAAAGCTACTTTCTTAACAAGATTATTTGTTCTTAAGAAAATCTGTAAAGGAACATGAGTTCTTAGATTCTATTCGTATAAAAAGGTATTACATCGTATCAAAACCAAATCCAATTTATATTTCTTGTTATCGAAGATCTCTTTCCGTATTTAGGGATTTAATAAAGTAGAATCTGTTAGATTATTTGCTTTTATCACGCGAGATCACGAAGATGTTAAAAGAGAGAACGAATGAAAGGATAACACCTCGTTTTTTTTCTCTATGCGAATGACTTTTCTTCCTAAAATAAAATAAAGTATGAAATCAAAAGAAAAGATATAAAAATAAATAAAAATTAGAGGAAAAGAAGGTAATGTTATTCACTCACGAATCTTATTATCTTTATTATCATATATGATTATCGTCTGTGCTCGCTTTTTAAACATTAGTTTGATAAAGTTATATTTTTCGAGGATCATTATTTTCATTCCTTCATTTTTATATTTTTATCTTTATTTTATATCCCTTTTTTCTCCTTTCGTTTATTTTTGCAAACGAATCGAAACACGCGAACTATGGAACCAACTTTATCTTCCTCTTTTTCTTCCTTTGATGCCACGGTAATCAATTTTTGTTGTTTTCAAAGATGAAAACAATGTTACGACGGGGGAAATGATATTGTACGACAAACTTATTATCGCTATATTTCTTTCAAGCAAGTAAACGTTCATCAAAGACTCGTTCGACAAACATATTTGTTTTATGTTTCATTTTTATAAATTGGAATAACGTCGTGACTTAAGAGTGCTTCTTCACGCTAGCTGTAAGTATCGGTTATATTTAACGAGATAATTTTAACGAGTGTAATTATCATTCATTATAATATTTGAGTATATGAATTACTATATGTGACATACTTACGGTTCGTTGATCCGATAATAAAAAATGTGTTTATCGTACAAATTATTTCTAAGTGTCTTCCAATTTTGGTTGAAACTTTAGAAACTTATTGATACACGTATTATTTACAGCATGGAATTTGTCTTTCATTTAGTCGTTAAGTTAATCGCTATTATACAAACGGAAGGTCGTTGTTTCAATAGAATCTCCTATTTTTTGAAACGATTATATAACGCGATAACACCAACAGAAATTTAACATAATTAGCGATATCATTGTTATATAGGACTGACCAAAGAATCGGGGTGCAGTTTTGGTGGCTTGTTCTCATCGATACACCTTCAAAATTACATATTATCATGATCATCGTCTCTCGTTACGTTTCTCTTGTGATTTTGATAAACGTATTTTTATCTTGTAAGTATATTCAAATTATTTCCTACGTCTATGTCTTACATAGGATAATATTATCTTGAAAGTTGCGTAATATTATATGAATCAATATTTGAAAATTCATCTTTTGACGTATATATGAGTAGAATTTTTCTAATAAAATAAATATGGAAATTCATTCTGTACGAATTTGTCTACTGCAACTAACTTCATTTTGATTTTCATTTGCAGATGCGAGAGCTAAATTATTGCATCTTGATACCATATTTCTACGTTATTACAAGTAATTATTTACGACGAATTGAATATATTATTTAACGTATGGCTATGGTCTGAGAAGCAATTGAAATTTTGATTTCAGTAATACGCTCGTGGATTACGTCGACGAGAAGTTGGATAATATTCAATTTCTTGTTTCGAAAATGGATACAAATAAGCCAACGGTACTTTATATTCACGGCTTTAAAGAGGACGTTGAGAAAAAAAGCGTGTCTACGGTAGTATGCGGTAAATTTTTGACGAAAACAAAATTACAAATAAAAAATCGAAAAACGCTTTCTCTTCCGTTAATCTTCCGGCCATTGAAATATTCAAGAAATCTTTATTATACACGAGATATTCTTGGGAACTAGCTCTTGGAATTATTTTTCCATCTGTTAGCGACGTAGTCAACAACTTTTTTTAATTCTTTTTCAACGACGACGACAAACATTTGGAGAAATCTCGACTTCTGCCGTAGATTCGAAACGCGTGCATGAATTTCCCTTTCTTTTTTTCATTTGTCATATTATTTCTTTTATTGTTACTTGAAGAAAATATGAAAGAGTAGCAGTTATATAAATATAATCGACAAAATCAAATTGTTGCAGCATATTTAGAACGTAACGATCACAACATCCTGGCTGTCGACTACAGAAATATCAGTAAATTGAATTACTTAGAGGTTAAAATGAACGTTAGATTCGTGGGATATGCATTAGCTTTGGCTTTGAACAAGATGGTTGTAGCTGGTTTAAATCCTAATAATCTTCACATTGTTGGTTTCTCTATGGGAGGCCAGATAGCCGGACATATCAGGGAACTAACAATTTTTCAAATACCAAGAATCACAGGTGTCTATTCAATTTCATTTTATGGTCATTTTCTTAATGAGATAAATTCGAATATACAATTCTTGAACTAAAGAAATAAATATTGACTTACGTTGATCTTTTTTCAAATCATTTTCATTTGATTATCGAAGAATATTACAAAATAGTATTTTGTAGGACTGGATCCCGCGGGTCCTATGTTCAATATTATCGATTCTCGACTCTCTTCGACCGATGCTCGATTCGTCGATATTATTCATGCGGATTATGGGTTTTATGGGACCACGAGGACTACAGGGACTGTTGATTTCTTCCCGAATGGTGGCCATCGTTTGCAGCCAGGATGTCAAAAAGGAGCACCTTTTTTAAGTAAAGACGGTTAGTACACTCGTTTGTTTTAATACTACGAAGAAACGTTGATGATAATCTTGATAATAAAAAATAAAATACTGCGTCGAGAGAATAACACACACATCGTTTGGAGAATTGGGTCACAGTCTTATGCGATATTTGAATAAAAATGGAGCTTAATCTTCTTTTTCTTGTCTTATTGAAGATTTCTATTCACTTTTTAAGAGCTTTTTCTTTGACCTAAGGGGAATTAATGTATGCAAACGTTTTAACATATTTTTACTTAATGATTATCAAGGAAAAATGATCAAATTGTTAATAAAGAAATTAATCGAACTAATTCTTTTTGTTATATTTTTCAGATTTCTGCAGTCACTTAATGTCATGGAAATTTTATGCCTTATCTCTGATCGATAAAAATTTATTGATTGCGGTAAAATGTTCTTCCTATCGTGAATTTCTTACCGGAAATTGCAAGGACAACGTTGAAATCCCAATGGGCTTTGCAACGCCAATTAACGCGTTAGTTTCGTTTACTATCTTGAAAAGACAAATTGGGTTTAACGCGACTTTAACTTAGTTTCGAGACCGATTTCAATTTGCAGTTACATAATCAAAGACATTTCTCCCTTTCTCTGTTTCAGTAATGGAACTTTTTATCTTAAGACTAATACTGACACTCTGTCTGCACTAAATGGACTTGGAAAGTGCATAGATCTAATAAAAAATCGACCTACCGAAGATACCAATTCTTTTCTGTAACATCATACATCAAGGATATGCGTCTACACGCACGCGAGCACTTATATTAAGTACGATAGACACAGAATTGTTTCCAATCAAATTTCTATTTAACAAGATTTTCTCGTTTTATACGATTGAAAGATATATTCTTTCATTTATTCTTCTATTTCTGTTTTTTAATATAGTTAACAGAATCGTTTTTAAATCTTCAGATTGTAACGAATACTATTGACGTTCGAATTCGGATAAATTATGGACCACTTGTGTTTGTTCCCAGGCCAACGACTATGGTGAAACGATCCGATTGAACTTAATTAAAAAATTGTCCTATACTTTGTCGTTAACCACGAGAGGGACCATCCGTTATACCCTTACCCTCTTCCTATTAATTTAAAGGTTTATTTCGAGACGATTGTTTGCGTACCTTTCTCCTTTTCAACTTGATATCCAATAATCCTGTTTCACGATAAATTACAAACGATCGAACTTTACTCTTGCTCAAATTTTATTTTTCCTTACTTAAGAACTTCCATTAAATCGAGTTGAATATTTTTCATAAATATTTAAGAAACGCTTTTCATACTTTCGTCGATTTGTTCAATGGGTTGGAAATCTATTTGTATAGCAGCGATTAATTATAATATTATATATATGATATCCCACAAAAGTTACTTCACTGAACTAAATCATTTGAATATTTTTGGTGGCAAGTATTATAGAATGACGGAATCGTGAGTTCGTATTTTATTTTCTTTTATTTTCCTTTATTTTCCTTTATTTTATTTTTTCGATAAAGCAATTTTTGGGATATCCTGTACAATATCATTCTATAGTATTGTTAATGAAAACGGAAACAAAATAAGGTGATAAAATATGTACCTTTCTTTTCGAGCGTGCCATTCTTTGATCCCTCGTATTCTCAGCTTCCCCTGGTGGTCTTTTACCCCATACGATTATGGCGATGCTAGTATAAGTGAATAAAAGCACCATCAGTGGCACCAAATACTGTACTACCAATAGGGAGATTGTATAATAGTATCTGAAAAGAAAAACTTATTTATTAGAAAAACTTATTTATTTAGATATATATATATATATATATCAATTATCATCAACTACTTTGTTAAGTAAAAAATAAATTTAAAAATATTCAAATAATTTGAAGTCAATGTAAAAAGTAGCATCAAAAGTGAACAATCACTTATCATGATTAATTACAATAAATCAGTGGCTTATAATTGTTGAATTTTGAAGCAGTGAAAAAGTTCAATTTCATCGTATAAGAAAGTTTACTTTCACCTGTTCCTTTCCGACGTCCAGTTTTCTTTGCAGATGAATCTATTGCATTGTACGTAACGATCTGTTCCATTCACAGGTTGCACAAGTTCCGATACCACGGCGATCGGAAAAGAGACCGTCAATGCTAGTAACCAGACACCCAGTATCAAGAACGTTGCTTGCTTTTTACTCATGCGTGGTTTAAATGGCCACATTATAGCAATGTAACGATCTATGCTGATTGCGATTAAAGTGTATGCGCTTACCAGCACGGAAACAGCCTATTATATGTGAATATTAATATAAGATATTTTCTGCATTTATTCATATTATAGAAATTATATTTTAGGAGTTTTAAATATTAAAATAAATATTAAAATAAAGCATTCACACATTTGACGATGCCAAAATGAATTTACATATTTTGTTTTTTTTTTTTAATGACGTCCCGTCGACGCGACAAAGATTTAGGGTTATCAAGACAATAAAGAAGATACTCGCCTGTGAATAATTAACGATTGGACAGAGCGTCCAACCAAAGGACCAATATTGAAGAATTAAAATACTGACAAAGGTTGTTGGGATACAGAAAACTGATATCAAGATGTCACTGATCGCCAGATTAACGATGAAGTAATTGGTGACCGTATGCATCCTTGGACTACTGCAAACGACGTAACAGACCAATCCATTTCCTATTAGAGCAACTATGAAAATCGTAAAGTAGAGAAAATATATGGTTGCTTGAAACCATTTCGACGAGAGGATAAGGTCCTTGCTGATGAATTCATCACATATCGAATCATTCCGAGATATGTTGAGGTATTCACTCCCTTCTATAGTACTCAACGAATAATCTTTCACAGTTTCGTTAATCTTCATGATGTTAAGCGTATTCTACTTGCCATTATGATCTGCAAGTACAAATGAATACTTGTCATTTTATATCAAATAATTATCAGGAGGGAGTTTCCGCAATCTTATCACTAAAAGAACAAAATACTTTTTCACTTTTTCCATAGCCAAACTTTTTGTCAAATTATTTTTCGACTATGCGATTGATTTATTGTTTTTCATTATTATTGCGTTTTAATAGTCGGTTGTATTGTTAGAAGTAAACAATTTGTCTATTGTTTCTCGTGTCCAATGTATACTTAATCGAGTTTATAATCGCTTTAAATCAAACTTTAAAACACGTCGCTGGAATTAATTGTAACTTTGAAATAAGAATTGATGCTTCGCCGGAAAGATTTTGATCGCATAAACATATCGAGTAAATTAACGTTAAAAATATTTGCGAACTTGCTCGAGTTTTTGCGATTAAGAACGAAAAGAGATTTACGTTAATTACGAATTCTGGTATTAGTCTCTCTGTTTTTTTTTTTTGAAGTAACTACTTTGAGTTACTAATTCAAGTAAAACCAACGGTGTAACTTCTTCGATAATGGATTATCCTTAATAGATATAATCGATTAAATCATTAAACTAAAAGTCATTTAATTTACTTTTTATTCACTCATTTATTTGAATATTTCATTCGATCATTTTTTGGTTGTTTTTCATTTCTTAACAAAAAATCCGAACTTTGACATTTCGTTCGATTAATGAAAAACGAATCAGTAAGAAATAATTTGATTCAGAAATTTCCTTTCAAAGTGCATACCCATATGCACGCGTGCAATCGTATAAATAATATTCAACAAGAAAATAATCAAATCGAATCAATAAGTATCTTTTCGAGCTGTTCAAAATCATATTGTAATTAACGTATTATATTTTATAACAGAATAATCGTATTCTCTTACATTAGTAAGTAAGTAGTGGAAAGAAAATGGAAAACGGTCTATTCGCAATCGGTGACAGACTATTATTGGTTTTTATTTCCTTTCTTCGAGATAAAACCATATTTATTAATGTACTCATATCGTTTCTCATTTGATCTTGTCACGTTGACACTTAACGGAAATTACATTTTGCGAAGGTGAGAAAGTTGAGGCAAGAAATAAGAAAAGGAAAAATACCAAGAAAATTATAAAAGGATAGTAATCGATCTTCCACGATAATTATACTTGTAATCGTGAATACGGATAATTATTACAAAGTCAGAGATGTAACGTATCGATCAATCGAGTCAAATATTCATGCATCGAAATGAAATGAAGTTAATTTTATTCAATTGTCAAAAAATGAATTTGACCAAAATGCCTTGACTTCATCGTCGAATGTAAATTTTGTATTACTTGATTATCAGTAAAATATCAAATATTAATAGGGATGACCCACTTAATAATTGTTCTAACTAATACCATTATATTGAATGAGAGTATTAATTACAAACAACATGACAATTTCAACATTCGATATCGTATTAATTTCGTATTATTATTAATGAACATGTGTTTCTTTATTTGCGAATCTTTCTTAAACTACTATAAGTGCAATTACTACTTCGTGTAATTGCATGTACGCATTTCTATCATTGAAATTGCCCTTTTTCCCGTTTATTCGATATTCCTACAGACTACGATACATTTATTTTCTTTTTTATTTTCCACGTAAAAATAGAAAAGAAGTTTCAAGCGAAATCGTGTTTTTTTTCGTTCAATAGGGGAATTGTAAAAGATTCATTAATTTATAACTTATTGTTAGATATCTCTCTCGGGATGCTTTCTATTTGTCGGATAAAATGAACTAGTTTTACTTTGATTTCTAAAAAGAACTCTTTGGTCGATATAAAAAATTACTTCGGCGAGAATGTGCGCGCTTCGATCAGCGTTCGTAAATCTTGTTCGATTTTCAAATAAATAGAGGGAAAAAAGAAAATAGAAAAACATCAAATTAAAAAAGGAAAATGGATGACGAGTTTTCTCATATTTCGCAGAGTATTATTTCCTGGGATTTAACTCGTTCCAAAGTTGTAAACTATTTTTTACCTTTGGCTTTTGAAAAGTTTTTTAAACGATGTTTGGTGTAAAGTCGTAAAGTCTTCGAAAATAATCATAACACAGGACAATATGTACGTATACAGCTAACAATTAAGTACTCTGTACTTATTTACTACAATATTTTCGTATGATTTCAAATGCGAAGTGAAAATTATGCATTCGTACATACATAAATATCTAAATTTCATTTTAAAGCTGAGATTCTCCGAAGGAATTGTTATTAAATGTAATAAACGTCCGGAACGTCATATTGTCTTTTAGTTTTTATCGAAATTTCCTAACCAGCGTCACGGAATAACTTTTGAAAATAATAAAACTTTGAAGAAATGACTTTCGTTGTGTTTAACTGGATAATTATTCTCTCTTAGGAACTATAAATCATAAAATATGCACCCTCAGTTAGACGAAGATAACCCAGAACGTGTATATGAATCTTTCTTCGACTTATTACCCACTTTATCGTAATGATCTTTGTTGTAATTGTTTTCAAACATTTGATGTAATTCAAGAAAGAGAAACACAGACAGAGAAAGAGAGAGAAAATGATTGTTCCTGGAACGGAAATCCATTGGTCATTGTCAAGCAAATGTCGGAAGGAAAGTTTTCAATCGCTAAAACGTTCATAATTCTAATACCTCCCTAAAGTTACTCGTAAATAAGCTATCTCCTCTTTGATCATCATACTCGATCCCTTGCTCATTTCCATATTGCCTTTAGGATTTATCGTCTACGAAGTGACATGGTTATTTGATATTTCATCGTGTTATGAGCTCTTCAAATCTCTTTTTCCCCATTTTCACAAATACAAATTCTATTTTCTTTTATTTTGTTTCCTTTTCTTAATAGAAAACGATACCGACTGTACTGTGGACGTTCCATCGTAAGAAATGTCGGCTTTTCTTATTCCTAGGAATTGGAATGACAAGGTTTCTCTAAGAGCTTTCAAGCACAACGTACGCTTGATGGAGCTTCGATTAAACGCATAAAACATTATCGACGTTTGCGTAAACACAAAGCCTGAGAAACAATGAGCGTGTCTCTATTTAATCCTTCTCAACGATGATAAATCGATCTATTTTGCAGCTTCGAAGTAAATTTATCTCGTTAACCTTTGTCCCGTGTATTCCTTTTTCGCGTATTCCGCTACGTCATTCGGTTACTTTTCGCAAAACATAGCGCGGGACAAAGATTTCTTCTGCATTTCTATACTTGAAAACTATTTTCCTTGATAACAAGAGAAGCATTGACTATGCATTGTCCGTTTTACATAATGATTGCATTGAAAAGAACTATGAACGGGATATTTGTCAGTAAAATAGCTGGCTCCATTTTACGTGTCCACTCGGTTTCGTAATCCATAAAATACTCTCTTTGTCATATGCATACACAGCTTTCTGTTATAGTACTTCTATAGTACTTTTATATATACACACACGTTTTGCAGATATATTTTCATTGTATTACTGTGTCGTACGATTATTCCACAAATTTCAACTCCCTTTCATAAATTTCTTTGACTGCGTTGGATTTAATTTACATTTGTTAAAGATAATTGCATCTAATATGGAACATTTGATTTTAAAATAGCTTCCCATACAAATAGATTTTATTTTCTATTATTAGGAGTGGTAATAAATTAAGCGATAAAACATGACAAGATGAATTTTTGTATGTTAATAGTTAACTTCATTCAAATGTAATAAGGGTCTCGAAGTTATGGTCCAAAATGTCAAGTTGAAAATATCTTCGGGTCGTTTGCTTGACGAAATATTGCGAGGCCTTGATATTAAATAATTGTCCATCCTATACGTTTAAAAATTATCACGCTCGTTTCTTTTAGCTTAGGGAAAATAAACGAAGGGATGAGTTTTTTTTATCTGGGTCAAGGTCAAAGAAAGTGCAATAAGATCAGATCTAAAAGAATGTTTTTTTCCCGACGAGTTCCATATAGTATGTCTGAAAAGATATTTACTTTTACTACTTCTCTTCCTCGCCCCTTCTTTCTTCCCATACAAACGCGAGAACATCCTTACATATACACACGCACATATACACACGCACATATGCACACGCATTTTCGTCGATCGCATGTTTTGCCACACATCCGATGACTTTTTCACCTTATTCGTCTTTTCTACTTCGACGAACGTGTCGCATACTCGTGAGTGACAACGGTTCTTTGCTATACTCTAACGCCATTTCTATTTCTCTTATATTTTCCATAACATGACACGTTATCATGACTCATCGCGATTAATTGACGCTTTAATGACCGGAATTTGATATAGTTCACCTATCTATAAAGTCTTATCTATGCATAACTGCACCCTAACATTTAGCTTTTACAATTTATGATCGATCAATCATTATTCTAGTACCACCGACTAAAGAGTGGGGGGTACTGGATATAATGGATACAATAAATAATCAAATTCGACGAAATGTTGATTCGACATAATCGTTCGAGGATAAAGAAAATTGATAAAGAGTCATAAAATTCATGTAAAATTCAATTGTGATTATCATTTACAAATAAGTATTATAATGCATTTAAACCAATGTAAATTAGAATACAATGCGTGTACGCAGGAGCGTTTAAGAATAATTACAATTAGGTTAGTTAGAATGGTTCACCGCTAATAATCATTACGATTCAAAGTCATTTATATAGACCGCAAATGTTAAAATTGCATTTAGCACGCTGATTGGTGAGATCGTTATTGAACGAGCCACTAATTTGCCGAATAAATTTCATTTTCAATATAATAATTCGATATATGAAATAGTATTCCTCATAGTTTCATCAAGTATGCACGTTTAAAATGTTAGAAATATTTTCTGTCCGAGTATTGAAGAAATACTGATTGAACATTTAATCTTCTATCACCCATGGGCTTAAATAGTATTTTGCTGAATATGAAATTCATTTGAATATTAGGGAAAAAAGCTACTGACCTATTTCTGTCGTGTACGATTAATTACATAAGTTTCCATAAGATGTGATTCGTATAAATAGTTTTAGTAAGTCGTACTGGACTTATATTTAATACATTTTTTTGAAAGTTCAGGGAACTCAAGAGTATTTCTATGGTGATCATTTATTTGTATTTGTTGTTAATTATTTCATTTAAATTCATATAAATTGTAATAATTTGTAATAATTATTTGCTTAATGAATTGTGTTCAATTTATTAAATACTATTTTTTGTTGTAGATCTTTTAGAAATGTATCGCGGTTAAAAGTTTTTTAAGAAATAACTGTAAATAGATAGAATCTGTTAAGATATATGATCAGGAAATCATTCATGAGATACTTGTATCAGTATTCATGTACAATGTTTACTACCAACCAATCAACACCTACTGCAAAAGTGAAATCCGATTATTCTGAACGTAAGCGCAACGTTTGAAGGGATAAAACGTAAAGGACACTGATCAAGATTTATTGTGAATAAACGTCTGAGTGTCTACGCTTGATAGAAGTACTTTAATTAATTAATTAGCCTTGCAAAGTTTAATCAAGCTACAAGTCTAGTCTCAATATCGTGTTGATATTCTCGAATGAATATGAATCCTTACGGGATTAAACTTATTATTAGCTATTCTCATTCGAGTAGTATGATCTTAAATAAAGTAAATTCATAGTAAGATATCTACGTTTTCACGTTTCAAGAAAATATCCTCATTTAATTTACATGCTAAATGATTTTCTTTTTCGTATCCTTTTTTTTTTTTTTTTTTTTTAGAACGAACACGAATATTTATGTAAAACGATGGACGATGATTTAATGTTGAGTGAGTAGTAAGTAAATAGTTGAAAATATTTAAAACACTTTTGAGTTAAGTGCTTGTAAATACTTTGAGATTCATCGTTTTAAGCTTCGCGTTGCTTTCGATAAATGCTTCGAAAATGATACCAATTTGACTTTGACTCTGTTACGGTTGAACCATTTTTTTTATTTAATTTTATTCTATTAATAAAGGAATTAAAAAATGTGTTCAAAGAAAAGATAGTTAAAATTTCATTATCTTGGTAGGAACATTTTCAACATTATTAATTCAGGATTATGAATCTTAAATTTCTTCATTACTCCCGTATAAATGATAACAAATTTATAACATTGCTCAAATTGTTCAACTTTTAAGTAATTAATGTACATCAATTATTACATTTTTAAATGTATAAGTACACGCGATACTAATATTTATCATTTTATTAAAAATCTGAAATATTTAAACGATTTTCACGTATATAATATTTCATTTGGACGATATCCACAGCATAGATCAAATTAAGCTAATGTATCTTGATCGGAAAAGAATTTAATTTTCAAATAAAATTACTAATTACGCTGCTTTCTATTTCATATTATCGAAAATGAACATTTTTTAATTACGAGATGGGAAATATTCTTTTTTTACACCGTTTTACCTTTGTATGCATAAGCAATTAATGTGGATTAATCTAATCGTTATCTGATACTTTGATTTTGCATGTTAATTAGGTATATAGAAGCAAACAAAAGTAAAGAAATTAGTTAAAAGGAAAAAGTAACGTCACTTTATTTTATCTCGACGAAATGTAATCGAGCGACAAATTTTCCGTTTTTATTTATTTCTTCTTCTTACTTAACTTCTCTTTCTCTCTGATTCTATTATATATTTCTCTTTCGTCCCGTATAAATTCGAAAATACAATGCTACCTGAATTCTTAATTTCATACTTTAATATACATAAAGTTTCTAGACGTTCGCGAAAAAGCTTTATGTATTAAGAAATTCTAAGATTATGCAGAGACGCGTAAAGTAGTGAAATTTTCAACCTTTCTTGCTATATTTATTATTATTATCATTTCTTTCTTTCAAAAGTTCTATGCGCGCGATTGGTAATAGAAAAAGTATGTTTCTTCTCTATCGATGTTTTCTCTATCGAATTACTGCGTATTCCAAAATTTTCGCATGATTGGGACCATATCGATGATTAATTTTTGGATGCATTAATAAATATTGTATCATATGATTGATAAAATGATATTTTCTATCTCAACTTTGACATTTCCTTAGCTAATTGATCATTAATATTATTATTATAGCAATTATTGTTATCGATAACATATTAATAAATAGTAAGGTTCATTGATGGCGCAGATACATGGCAAATAATTTAGCTTTAAGGATAAAACAAGATAACAAAATCGTACCAACATTAGAGGCTTCTATTTCAAGCTATATTGCGTGTTATTAATATTCGCCTTAGGCATCTTCTCGATGATCGCTCGTTACTCGTTGCTAGTTCGAAACTAGTTATGGCAATAATTCATTACACAATCGATAACTTTCCTTGCTACAACTCGCCAACTCTCTTTCTCTCTCTCTCTCTCTCTCTCTCTCTCTGCTTGATTCATTTTTTTCTAAATACCTAGTAGAACGAGTTGTGAAAATCAATTAAAATCTTATCGAAAGTAAACGTTCGAGTGTCAGTCTAGTTGAAATAATATTTTTGCGAAAACGAAATAGGCGAATCGACTTTGGTCTCTTATTTCGTTGTTTCTATTTTGACGATAAAACGATATTCCAATACGATCGAATCAATCGATACAAAGTTCAATAGGTTACTCGGTTCTCAATTTGAAAAATCATTTCGACGAAAGATAATAAAGTATTTCTAAAGACCTTGATCGAATATCTTTTCAAACTCGTTGAATTGTTACCTCCGCTTTCGAGACTTTCGAACTTTCAATAGAAAAAGATCTTAGAAAGTAAGCGTCATCTTCGATTAAAACTTCAACTTTTTACGACAGATTTCATTTAGTTTGATTTGACACAAATGTTGCAAAAAAAAAAGATAAAAAGTCAGGGAAATAAGTAAAAGAGGAAACAGCTAAACGGAAAAAATGTTCTTAGTGATATCTATTGCGTATCTTGGTATCCGTATACTTGTACACGTTTACAAGGTTCATAAGATATGAAAGGACACGTCCCCATCGTATCAAATCCAGGATCTTCACTCTGATTAACCGTTTCAGCAATACGAACATGAGTTTCCTTTTACGTCGTATCTCGTCGTTTCATTTATTATATTCAAAATGATCACACATTTCTGATTATTATTAATCTTTAGGATAGTATTAAATATATAATAGTGTATGCTTTCATTCGTTAAAAAAAGAAAACAAGTTAATGAAAATAAATGAAATAATATTGTATTTTCTGTGGAAAATTTGCGTTAAAGATATCTAACTTTACGACCATAACACATTGACACTATGTGGAAACTCGATTGCTCGACGAGAATTTATTGTCTAATGAGAGAAACTCGTCTACGAGTCAGTCACGAGAGAGCTTTTAAACTTCGTACGTATTTTCTTAATAAGTAGTACAATAAGAACTCGTATAAAGGGAACAAGAAAAAAGGAAAAGAGCTTTTGTTCAATGCATAGTTGATATAATCAAGAATTAATCCAACCAGAATGGCTAGGAAGAAACTATGCTGTTATAAACTAAATGCATTAATAGTATCATTCATTTTTCAAAACCACAAGTTTACTCGAGATAAGAATGTGAAGAAAAAGAAAGAAAGGTTGAGGTTGCTCTCTCTCTCTCTCTCTCTCCCTCTCTCTCTCTCTCTCTCTCTCTCTCTCTCGCTCTTTCTTTTTCCATCTTTTTAAATTTCTTTTCTTCTTCTTTTTTTCTTTTAATCCAACTCACGTGAATTTCTCCCAAATGTCAACGTGCGGCTTGAATTCCTGATACACGCAAACAACTAACAATTCCTTCTACATTTTTCTTGTTCTTTGTCGTTGTCACCCTTTCACCTTTTCTTACAGTTCTTTTCTTTCTTAGATTTGTCCAGAATACTAGAATAACATTTCGTTGCTTTTCGTACCATAAAAGAAGATAAATTATCGGAAATAGGTGGATTTTCTGAAGCACATTTGTATCTTCTCCTCTATTTCCTTTCTTCTTATTCACTAATTACGTTCATAAATCACAAAGGATAAAATACATTTATCGAATATGGAAACGCTTGGAATGGAATGTTCGTATTGAAGGTTTCAGGAAATAGAGAAATAAAGAGATCAAAGTAAAAATAGAAATAGAAAGATAGAGAGAGAGAGAGAGAGAGAGAGAGAGAGAGAGAGGGAGAGAGAGAAACAAAGTGAAATATTGGCTTATCGAAATGGCATATACCTTGGAGAAAAATCTTATCAAGTTTAATCTTCCATCCAATCTAAAAATTTCATACTTCGTTTTCCATTATTTCTCTTACTTTCTTTATATTTTCAGCCAGTCATTTTCGATATCCTCGAAAACTTTTCTAAGATAATAATCCCTAAACGATACTTGACAATTTCCTCCGAAAATGATGCCATTAACTAAAATACAAAGGTCCATTAAATCTCTTTGAATAAATTGTTGAAACTGTCTCTTCCTCGTTTAGAAACCATCTAAGTTTCGATCATATTTGAAGCATCGTCATAAGTAGTGGTATCTATCGCGAGACTTAGGATAGACTTTCAACGAGAGAGAAAATAAAGAGCTTTGTTATTCGAGAATCTAGCGAGATATTTTCAAGTAGTATTACGTTGTCTTACTCCGACCTCAAATGGTAAATGGCATTAATAGATTATTATTATTAGAAAAATCTTTGACCATCTATTTTTCTATTTGCAAACAAACATTGTTTTCATTCGAATCTAAAATACATAATTTCGTAATAATTTTGTAGCAAAGGTTTAAACTCAAAGAAAGGGAAGCAAAAGGGAAGCAAAAGGGAAGCAAAAGGGAAGCAAAATGAAAGGAAAAGTGGATCCTTAAGTTTAGTCGATTTCGGCGACGAGGAGGACGAGGACGTAGACGGATTATAGTCGAACACGGTTCGTCGCTGACTGACTAGGAGCTTTCAAGTTACGAAAGCTCATCTACCCTCTCCCTCCGTTAGTCGCGCGCCACTTATTCACTGCACAGACGCACTGCTGCTTTTTCTTACAACTTTTAATAGCCCAACCATCGACGATTAATGTACCTATATTTATTTTTATCAAATCAGTCGAACCTTCCTTTTTGTCTGCTATAAATAAATGTCATCGTAAGAATACAGATTTTCATCATTTTTCATATTTTTGTATTACCATTGAGAAACGATTATATCGATTTATTTTCATTTAATTGCCAATGAAAATTTGTCTTAAATAATTCAGGAGTAAAGAGAAGAAGATAAATTGGAATATCCGAGACAATTTTTTGACTGATTTAAGGAACACCAAAGAGAGTGAGCAAGGTTTACTTTCTTATTGAATAAACGACATTATCTTCTTCGAAAGAAATTATAAAGTTTTTCGAAGAGAGAACAAAGTAGAAATATTTTTCTTTCCGATCTCGATGATTGTTTGCTCTTCTTTTTTCTTTTCTTCTTCTTACAGGATGAATCAAGAATATTCTTCAGGTGTTTTTTTTTTTTTTCTAAGAGGTATTATTTATAGTTATGTATTTAGTTTATCTTCTGCTTTTTGTTTAACAAAGATAGAATGAAAATTGGAATAAGATATGCGAGAAAGAGAGAAGAATAATAAGCTACAGGATTTTCTTTTCTCACTTTATAAAGCTTTTTAGTCTAGTTTGGTTTCAAAGTCAAGATGCCTTTTCACATTTCTTCGACATTGAATACATTATCCTTTTCTTCCTCTAAAGTACTCTAACTATTCCTCCTTTTTCCAGATTTCTTACTATTAATGCGAGAGCTCTCTTACCAATTCAAATCTGTCGAGATTCCTCTTGATACGTCGAAGAAATGAAAATCTCGACGAATTTTAATGCCCTTGAAATCACGATCGATGCGTCGTGTATGCAAGGGAAAAGGGAAAAAAGGGTGACCAGCGAGGTTCCCAGTGTAATGCAAAATCTCTTTTCCGGATTTTCTGCAAATGGAATCATTTTTTATCCTTTATATAAAACGATTACAACATATATATATGAACCTATTCGAAAGCCAAAGCGATTAACTTCGCTTAGAGAATGTTTCTTTTTTTTTTTCTTTTTTTTTCAAGTTTTACTATCCAACCACTCGACGATCGATACCTTAACTTTTTATTTTGTTTATAATAACGCTAAATGATAATAATTTCTATTACCGTTTAATAATAAACGATACGTCAATTCGTGTTATTCCATCAATTTTCTATACTTTTTCTTTCGCGGAGATAATCGATTTGATAAACGAATCACTTGAACTTATCGATCAGGCTTTTTTTTTCTATTCTATTATTAAGGAACGATCTTTTTTGTTCTCTTTCGATTAACTTTCAATCGAGTTGATATATTTTATCCGACGTTTACGTATATTATATATCAACAATTTCTGATATTACTCAGAAATTTGAAAGAAACATTCGAGTAAATCTTCGAAAGATGATTTGTTCTGTCGGTTGATCTCTTGCTACGGTAGTCCCTTTTGAAATTTATATTCATTCTGATATTGCCCGCTTCTTGTTATGCCTTCGCTTTATTAATGAACCGTAAATATTTATAAAGCTGTTGTCGAGAAAGTCTCCAGCGATTCTTTATTTTTGGCCTATCTACAATATTTGCATACATAAATATAATATACATACATATTCATCTTTTATTTGTACGGGATACAATCGAAATTAAAAACTAACGATTTACGAAGTAATTTGTTATTTGAAAAATCTTTTTCGATCGATAACATTTCATTTGAATTACTTTATGAACAATTCAATAAGTAATCAAAGTGAATAGATTTTCGTATAACAATAGTTAACTTATTATTAAAATTGAAAATGTGTGTAAAATAATGTATAGAAAGTAACTTTTGTTTAGAAATTGAACCAACTAAATTTGCTTGTCAAAAACTTCTACACACCGTCACACTCAATAATGTTTGAAATGAAATATATCGCGTAGTTTTCGATAGTCTATGTTATTTATTCGCTGAAAAATTGCATTCTTTTGCAAAAAAAAAAAAGTTTTGTTTTCATGTAAAAAAATCTTCTTGGTTTTTTTCTCTTAACATTTTTTTTGTAGATCCTGTCATATCCGTACGGTTGACAAATAAACGGGACACCCGTACATAATGCTACATATTAATTACACGTCTGCTTCAATGCATTCACCCACCATCATCTTCTTTATTTCTGTCTTTTTTTTTTCTCTTGCGATTTTAATAAACTTCATGAACCATATGTTTTCGCGTAACATCTTTTGTTTATCGAAAAATTATACGATCCATTTAATGTAACACTGAAAATGAATAGAGGGAGAGAGATAAAATATTAGAAATAAAAAGAAAGAAGGGTAATAAAAAGGAAAGATGGAACATAAAAAAAGGAAAAATTGTATTTCAATTTATTTCGGATTTCGAGCATTGATTCTTCCTGGCGTATGGTTAAATTCACAAAAATCAGAAGACAATGTCGCTTTTCGGATGTAAATTTGTACGGTTCATCGATTTCATCGAAACGACGAACAACGTTGTTCTCGTCAGATGCGTTATAATCGATGTATCGAATTTCTCTCTCTCTCTCTCTCTCTCTCTCTCTTTCTCTATTTTTTTCTATCCTATTATTTTCTCTCTCTCTTTTTTTTTTATCGCGAGATCGAACAACGAGCACGCACACACGACCGTACGTGACCGCGTCCTTTATTCTCTACGAATACACAATTTCGCACCGATAAAATCTTTCAACGTAGCAGGTACATTAATATGGTAATCCTAACTCTTTCATCGATTCGTTTCTTCGATTTTTCTCAACCCTTGTATGCGAGCTTTAGAAAAGGAATGCGAATAAACAGAGGATAAATCAATGCGAAATGAAATTAGAGAAATTCGTTTACTCCTTCTTTCATTTTCGTTCTATATTATTTAACAATAAGAGACATTTGTCATTTCATTCGTTAGAAACTTTTTTGTAACAAACGCTTTTAGAATTTACAATTGAATGAAAGATGTTTCCGATTCGTTTGGAAAATTTCTACATTTTTATTGTAGAAAAAAGTTTAATTGAATAAAATTGATAGCGTTTGCGAGTACGAATACTCTCGGGTCTGATTGTACATACGTTTATGCTCAATGGTATTAAAAATAATGATTACTGGATATTGTGTTTTCCTAATAGACGTATGTAGAAATCTGAAAAATTTGATTACACGCGGTAACTATATTTATAATTATTAAATATTTAGAATGAAATATATTTTCCATCAGTGGCAAATCTTTCTCTCTCTCTCTCTCTCTCTCCTCTTTGGATTTAATTAAAAAATCGCAAAAAAATCTCGACAGTCAACAGGTACACGTTCTCGTTTTCTAAAGTTTCTTTACTCGAAAGAATTTAAACGAACTTCTCTTGCCGTGAAAATGTTGCCGGTGCTTGATTAAACGATACTGGTAAATCAAAAGGTCTAAGGCGTATGATCGTAAAATGAATAAAAAAAAGATTACTTGTGATAGTAAAGTAAAGAATTTGGTGATAATTTAGGACGATACAAGTATAGTTAACATCGCGAATGTTATTAAAGTTTGAAGGAAAAGTTGTAACGCACATTTTATCGAATATATCGATCGATAATATCGATCTAAAGAACGATCCCGTAAATTGTTTATCTTGGAACGTTGCATCGAACAGATGTTAACGGCGCCGCCTTGGTTCTTCGCATGCAGACCTTTATACTATACCGGAAATAGTGCGTTGCAAAAAGCTGTCATCGAATAATTTACATTACCCACGGTTGGACGCAAAAGATACGATATAAATCAGAACACCACCGATCTAACTCTTTCCCTTCATATTTTCTCATTTTTCTTTTTACTAACGAAAATATTGAAGTATCCCAATCTACAACTTTGTAGATTAGATTTTCATCGTGTTTCTTTTATGAAAAGCAATCGAACAAAAAACAATGGGAAACTTAGGAAAAGAAAGATTAGCGATAGATGCATTCCTCCTTCTATTTATTTGATCTCTTTATCCCTAAGATTTCGACGATTACGTTCGTATTTTTCTTATCGCGTAAAAACTGTCAAAGTAATTGCGAACTTAGGCTGCTATATTTAACTTTGATAAAACTTTCTTTCGCACTCTTTCTTCTCCTTTTCATTATTTTTTTTATTCCGTCTTTTTTCCTTTCCTTTTTTGCTTCTTCTCGAATACGAGCGAACGAGAAAGCGTAAAAAGTTCTTTTCAGAGAGATTACATTTTTCTTCTTCTATTCTCTACCTCTTTCCTTCTTCACAACCTTTGTTCTTACCCTCTTTCGTTGATACGAACAACACGCATTCGGTGTACCTGTAGATTTTGTTCTACCTTCATAAAAAGGAATTTTCGTTAATGTAAGCGTATACATAATTATTCAAAGAAAAACATTCATCCTTTACCGTACTTCAATCCACAATTTACTATTATAATTCTTTCTATCGAAAAATAAAATGTCATGAAAATTGAGAACAAAATAAATTCGAATCGCGAAGGGATATTTGGAAAAATGATTTTAGAGAATAGTCGTTCATCTTGTACTTTTGAAAAATATTGCAAGATTTGCGACAAAATTCTGTAATTTGATAATTCGAACACGAGTCCTCTTTACTTTTCATTTTCAAATGTATTGTATATATAGTCTACTTAATATCTATTGCACTTTATTCTTAAGTTTTATACAAAGATATTTGCATAAATTACTCGATTCATACTTTTGTCGAAGATAAAAATACTATATTTTACAAACGTGTAATTAAAGTTAATCAAAAAATGTATATTAAAGAGGTGAGCAAGTTAGTAATAATTTCATTCTGAAGAAGAAGAAAAAAGAAAGTAGGCGAAAGAAAGTATCGATTATTTTTACGTTGAAAGAAAGCACCGAATTTATCTTTCGTTTAATATACCTTTGAACATTTTTAAGTACCAAATATCTGATTTTCGTTTCTTCGTAAAACACATCACTTTGATACTGTTCTCATTTTCTTTTTCGATTTTTTCCTTGCGTTATGTTCACAGAGGAGAGAAATTTTGATTATAATAAAAAATAAATAAAAATAAATGGAATGGTGATAAATAAAAAAGGATATTTCAACTTGAGTAAAGCTTTATTTACGTCGATGGAGGCGAAAAAAGGAAAAAAGGAGAAGATGCAAAAACGATGGAAACAAACCGAATGAAAAGGAGGAGAAGAATTCTGTCGATTTTCGAGAAGAGTGTTGTCGTGAGTAAGTATATTGCATACTTTTACCAAGAGTCTCGATATACATGGTTTATACAGGATATTTCAGCGAAAGTATCACATTTTCTAAAATCCTACTGAGGAAATCAAGCATAGATTTCGTTTAAATATATAGTTTTTTAGGGATTCCGAATATGTGCCTTAGTTAAATAAAGTACATTTCAAAAGGAGAAAGTAAATCTTCACAAATCTAATATTTGTGAAAAAAAAATCATAAAAGATAGTCGCGATTTTGGTGATTTTCTAAGTTTTTTTAATATTGCAACAACAATTCGCAGGAAAACGAAAATAGTCCGATTTTAAATTATTATCCTTAACTGCAACAAGCTCACGATAAATATAGGTTTGTTCGCAAACTGCCATTTTTTCTTCGCTAAAAAATCTACACGGCTGAGAATCACTCCTGGAAAAAAATGTGCATTAGTATAAAATGTTCAAAACATACGTGAGATATACGTATAGATTACAGATATAGAGCAGTAAATACGAATTGTTGCAACAATAGTTACAACGATTATTAACTTACATACAAACTTCGATGCGTACAGCTTGCGCGAATTCTTTTCCATTCTGTACTATAAACAGCCACTCCCCGTTGACAGATTCTGCCGTCTTAGGAAAAATGATCTTTTCCTGTCAATCGATAAAACAAAAATCCTTCCTTGTTAATAAATTAAATAACAAATAGAAGAGATATTTTGAAAAAGACTGAATTACTACTGGATTACTTACATTACTTACGCATAGCACTACTTCATCCACGTCCGTTCTGACCGCAAAGTCATCTGTTTTATTTGTTAACTAGATGAGAAGAAATCGATAGAAAATAAGATAATGAAAAAGCGTCAATTTTTCAAATATATTTTTCTTTAGCGTTACTTACTATATCTACGACACCAAATAAACCCTTGGTTGTTCGTAATTTAGCCTTTACAAATTCTTCAGGATAATTGGGAACATCTTCGCAAAAGATTTCATTCTGGCATGTTGGTAGTATGATATTTTCTTCAACGAAGTATATACGGTCGTCAAAATCATTTGCTAGTTTAAATAATATTCATTGTTATAACTACAGAGATATTTTTGCATTGCAAGAAAATCATTTTTTTTATTGATAAATAGCCTGTTTCTTTTTTTCTTTTTTACGTAGATACTTTTGACCGGTAGTATATAGTATAGCATATATGGTATATATCATGAGAATCTTTATGATACTTACGTCTACGATCATTTAGTGCCGATTTATTGTACCAGCTGGGAAATAATGGTCGATCAAACTTACGTTCGTCAACAAAATTTACTTGTGAATTAGTCTCGCCTATTATCTGTAACTCGGAAATAATTATACCTTGTCAATAAGAAATGAATTTAATCACATTTATATAAAATTGATTTTCTCTATCTCTCTCTTCCTCTAAGAAAAACCGTATAAAAAAAATTAAATCTTATATACCAACGATAAAATTTATAATGGATAAGCGTTAATAAAATCGCGTTGCTTGTATTGAGAAACTCGTCCTATAAAAATTAATGAATAACAAGTTAATTAATAAAACTTTATCAAGAATCGTTCGATCGTGTTTATTCGATATAAGACAGATAAACATTCTTTAATTAATGACTTTTTTTTCATTTTTTCATCAACAATATTATATTGAAAATTTGATGAAATGTTGGTCGAAGAAAACGATTCAATTGAATACTCCTCTACTCTACTTTTGTTTCTTTACAAAAAATCAGATTAAACTAAAATACAAAGAAAAAGATTGGAACCATCTTTATAGGAATAATATTTATGAGAAACAAACACATACCAGGAATAGAAGAGCAGCCTTGATCACAATCATCCGATGATGGTGGTAGTTCGCTCGAGTCTTTTCCATTTTGACGCTCAATTTCTTCCGTAATTAATGATCAATTAATTATTTATATAAATGTTCACGGATTCAATCACGCGAAAATAATGTACTAATTTCTTTTTTGTTTTCCTCTTCTATATTAAATCGTGTAAAGAACAAAATGTTCAATTAAGTCTTCTGATTCTTCTTATTTTTAATTCTATAAAAAAAAAAGTTGTGGTAAACTTGGCAGAAGTATAGAAAAAGATTAAATGAATCGCATTGATTCGTTGACTGTCACCTTGTACTTTGACACAGTAAAGTTATAAAAATGCGTTATCTACTTTTTAATAGGTTCGTCTATCGTTCTACCTACTGTCCATGGTATTACTAACCGATTGAATTTTGTTCATTAGCTTTTGAAGCAAGCACTGGCAAAATTTATACGATTAATATCGGTTTATATGTCAAACCGCAAAAACCGAGATGCGATTACGATTTCTTCGTAAACTAACGCGTAAAATGTATCATACCTTTTTAACGTTTATAAGCAAATTATAAATATAAATAATGCACGAAACATTAAGAATACTCATTTACCAAAGATGAATTTGAGGGATTTATCGATCGTTCTCCAAATTCGTAGTCGATGTTTTCGAGTCAATTACGTTGTTCGTACGGTATGATCTTTCATATCTCGTACATTTATTTTCCTCTTCCGTAGTTTTCCACATTTACCTAATTTTCGGAAAAGCACGATTAGTATCCAACCGTATTACACACACGTACGTACAGACGTATGTAAATATGTATATTCGGAAAATGATTTCCGCTTGACGTCAGGTCGAAATGGTCTTTACAAATTTGACTTACCGATTTCTCGTCTATTCCAATGATACACTGTACGATTTCACATACGTATGATGTGTACCGAGATTTAGAAATAATTATGCATTTATATACGCGTATTTGTGTGTTTTTCATTCGGGATTGGCCGATTAATTAGAACAAACGTAATTTTTCATGGGAGAAAAACGAGTTTGTGTAATAAAAATGATGATAAGACTATCACGTAAACTGTTCTTTCACTCCTTTCTGTTCGTGACTACGGAGAGAACCATCGGAGCCAATCGTGTTTAGTACTATTTATCCTTACTTTTGCTTCTTGCGACATCTGTGTAAAATGTTTACACGTGTCATAATGTATATATTACGTGTTTCTTCCCATTAAAAGTTACAACTATTTTTTAACGCTATAATATACGTTCCTCTATCACCGTAATAAACGCGTTACACGTTTGAATTATTTTAGATTAACATTTCTTTTTTCTCTATTTGCTCGAACATAATGTAACGCGCGGCAACAGGTTTTTTTCACTACGAAATCATCATAAAGTGAATATAATCCTGCTCGTCCTTGTAATCTTGCTAATAGAGATTATATAACTCGAATTTTTAATATGCCTTTTTTTTGCTCTTCCTCTCTTTGATATTATCACAAAACAAATGAATACATTTGAACTATTTTACAAATGCAAATTTATCTTAATAACATTTATGCATAGAATATCCTCAAAGTTGCTTTAACTACAATTAGATAAAAAATAAAAAAAAAACAAAATTAATATTACGTTTTTCATTTCAAAAAAGAAATAATCCAATTATATATATATATATATTAACGTGGACCATCAATGCTGCCAAATATTTGTCAAAAAAGCAATTTTGGAGACACCTTATATATGGTCAAATATTATATAACATATTATAAGTTGACCAGACGTATCGAAAAAGCAACGATCATTATCGATTTGGAACCGTTTTGATTAGGATGCAAGTGAATACAATTGTTTCGGATTTTCCAAACAGTATTATTGTGACAGCGTTCGTTGATTAAAGAAGATTGACAGTTTCCTCGTAAATAAATTTCATTCAACAACAAGACTGTCACTGGACAAATGTTTTAAAAGTAAAAATAAAATAAGTTTTATCCTAACAAAAGGAGAAATTCTAATAAAAATATTCTGTTTATCGACCTACTACATAATGACCATAATTTATTTAGCAGCAAGGATCGTTCCATTTAAAATTAAATAGGAAAACAAAACGTGTGCAGAATTTCACTTAGTTAGGATGGAAACGTGCTAGTTATATACATGAAATAAAAATAATTTCCTTCTTGGATGACGTCAAGGTAAGATGATCATACGCTAATTAATGAGTAACGATCTTCCGCTTTTAACGGGAAAATCAGCAGGTGTACATACATAAGTACATACATAAGATTATTTTTCAATATCTTTTTTTCCTTTCTATATCGACGTGACATGATTTTATTTTTAGTCTCTCGTACAATGTCGTACAACTGTTTCGATGTCATTGACTCTTTCAAGAATATTTTCAATAATCAAAAAGTTCAATGTACATATTAAATATCATAAGAAAATAATGAAGAAACCAAAAATTCGATTGGAAGATTATTAGGACAGAGTTATTATAAATCGTTAAATAAATTTCTGATTTTAAGTGGATTTCTTTGTTATCGTTCTCCATAAGCTCTCGACTATCCATTCGCATTTCCTATTGTAGTTTGGATTAGTTTGTGGTTAGAAAGTGTCGGTAAATTGTTATCCACAATTCCGGCCAATACCGCGAACATTAATCATATAAAATACACGTTTATGAATATGTATGCATATGCATATACTTATGTTTATGGTTACGCGTATACATATGGAAAAGAAAATTAAAAGAAATAAGATTATCTGAACGAAGAGAAAAAATTGATGATTATTAATGGAAAGTAATCTGACATGTTGATAAATCTTTTAAAGCACAAGGCTCGTTCTATTTTTATTAGTATGAATAACGTATGTTTCATAAAGTACATACGTTGCTTTGAAATTTAATGGATATTATTTAACAGATGTTTCCTCGAATTATGCATCGCGTCTCGACTAAAATGATGGAATACTTGGAAACCCTATGAAACAAGATATGCTATGAGTTTTCTTTCCAAATGATTTTTAATATCGCGATTTTACTTTTGAATAAATAATAATAATCAATGAATAAATTAGATCGTTTTATTTTATACATTGTAGAATCCATTGTCTCTCGAAATAATGATTAGAAATTTGCTTTAAATTCGTTTGAGGATACGCATGGTGGTAACGAATAGTGCATAGCTATAGTTTATTTGCGATCGAGCTAAGAGAAACAAACGCAAATTTAAGGTAAGAGAAAGTTCAATAAACTTGATAGTTCGCATGCATGTATGGATGGACATTTGGCCTGGTGTAAATAAAGAAGAGAAGAACGTCGATGAAAGAGGGCTTGGAGAGGGAGGAGGAGAAAAATAAATCGTACATTTTGTAAAATTGAAACGGAACAGTTATCTTCTCCTTTGTAAGAAATTGAAATTATGCAATTATGATTGTTCTCGTTCGAATAAACAAATCCAACATCGAATTTCTTCTTAGGAGAGATATATAATACAATATATAATACAATATATAATGCAATTTAATAGTTACTCGATTAATAAATGGAATAACTTGAACTATAACCGAATAACTAACATAAGAGAAAATGAAAGTCTTAGAGGTGCCAATTAAAGTTTCGAATTCGTAAGCCGGTTCTCAGCTACGTACCGAAATATAATGAATCTCGGCTAATAATATTGGACGATGATATTATACTGCTTGTTAAGGAAAGTCTAGATGATAGTGAGTAAAAGCGGTCACACAGCATGCGCCAGCTGTCGAGAATATAGAGAATCCGTGAGATGTGTTATTCAGTAAGAACTTGTGGTAACAAAGTTCTACGAGAGATATCCTACCTTGTGTCAGATTACTGTCATGCAAACAATATTACCGACTTCAAACAAATTCCACTCGAAATTCAATCATACGAATGATCGTTTTATTACGATCAGACGATTTCTATGTCAATGTAACTTTTATAATACAAAATATATCCAATTAAAAATCGAATATATGCATTTATCTTCGTTTTGGGCAAATATCCTATTTCAAACTTGATACTTCATTATTTTTGATAGTGAAAGAAAAAAGCAAAGTTAAGTAGATATCATTACTTGGATCATTGCAAATTGATGAATATACCTAATGTCAAATTTGAAAGTTTATTCTCATCGAAAGTATGAAAGGAAACAATTGATGAGTTTCCTATTTGTCGATTGGCCGTTGTATAATAATACTAATGACAATAATTTGAAAAAAAAAAGCGAGCAAGGATATAGACAATATAAAATCATTGGATTCGATAACGAGAGAAATATTCTGTCGTAACTGACAGGAAGTGGAATGAACAAAAACTGCAAAGTATCTTTTGATTTCTGGGAGTGAGCGTCACAATCTAATGCACACCGGTGACTATAATCATCCTGTTACTTCGTAGAACAATGTTGATGCGCTTGCCTTTCGTATTATATCTCAAGCGAGTACCTACTCGGATAGCAAAGTTTACGAAGTAAACAGGCACATCATAACGACGAGCTCAGGAAAAACGTTAAGAGTAAACGAGTCCGACAATTCGCCTACTTTCTACTCGTCGAAAGGATGAATGACGTGGTACGATCAAATAATCGGACAATAAAATTGTTCGCAGTATATCACTATCATTATCTTTCATTATTATTTATCCTTTTGTACCACGTAGTTACACAAGTACAACATATTGTTGAAATTCTTCCTCGACGTTAAGAATACAAATATTTATAAATCGAAGAAAGTCTCTTACTAATTATTATCCTCAAGTAGAAATAAAATGTTAAGAACTATGAGAGATTAAGAAATGAGTTGAGAGATCTTTCGCAAATTGCAGTAAGAATAATCGTAAACGAACAAAAAATAAAAGAAATGTGTTTAAAAACAAACAAAAATAAGAAGAAGAAGAAAAGATTAAGAGGTAGATAATTATGAAAGTTTCATCACAATAGAAATTAACTGTGAGGGTAGTAGACTCTCTCTCTCTCTCTCTCTCTCTCTCTCTCTCTGTCATGGTGCTTTTCAATCTTCTTACAATTAGTCGAGGTTACAGTGAATACGTAATAGGATGAGCTTTCCTTGTAATTACAGTCGTCAATGTTATTTTTAATTACTATTACGACAAGCTCAATAAATATATAGAAATGAAACTAATAACAATCTTTTTGGTCGGGGCTGAAAACTTTTCAACACACCCTCGCAAACTATCATCATCGTAAAATGTATTAAAATTAAAACATCAAAGTAATCGATTATGTTAAATGCGTAGTAAGATCTCACCTGTGACAAGTAAAATGAAAGAAAGATGCAACGATAACGGCATTTCACCACTTTCATTAGCGTGCCTAGACTCATAAACTTCGATGTAAAAAAAGGGCTTGCCGTGCATAACTTCCTACTTCGAATGCACTTGAGAAAATGCAGGTAACGCAATTACGAGAATACATTTCATTTGGGATTGCATACAAAGTACGATCGAAAAGGAAAATAAGTATCAAGATGTGTAGCGAAGAATCGAAAGTGAAATTTTCTCCTAGCAATTTTCTAGAAAAAACAAAAATAAAATGTAATCAAATCAAATAAAAAAGACAACAACAACAAATAAATTGTCAGAATTTGTTGTTCCTTTTCAAAAGTGACTATAATTGGATCGCTTTTATGTCGATCAAATGTATATAAATCATAATAATTTTCAACTTTTAATTGTAGATTATTGAGGAACGTGTCGTTATTAATAATCGAGGAGTAAAACGATCTCTATGACAGATAAATAAGAGAAATTTCGTCGAGTCGCGTGTTAGGTTTTTTCTCTACGGTTCGTTAAACCAGAAAGGTAAAAAAAGAAAAAAAAAAAGAACAAAAGTACACGAAGAAATTGCAAGATGATTCTTGCTTTTGCAATGAAGTTCGATTTATATCAAGTTTTGATTATTCGCGGAAAGAGAAAAAATAATAAAAGCAGGACGAGCACGCACGAGTTTCAAAGGAAATTTGGAGGTTCTGTAATTGTAAGTATTAAAAAAAAAGACGAAAAAGAAAAAAAAAGATCGGACACTCTCTCGCAATTGGTTTAAAGGTGGGAGCTGGTATAAAGTGAGGAAGTACTCGATGGCGCCAGCCAGTGAGTTCAGTGAGAGTGCCGCGATCATTTTGCCGATCTACCGTGAAAGTCACGATCACGTAGTACAAGGTATACTTAAACCTACCCGTGCATAAACCAAGTCAAATCATTTAGTTATTTACATTCACGAAAAGTGCAAAGTGTCGAATATCCAAATTTAAATGGTGCTCCTAATCGCGAGAAATTGCTTTTTTATTTTTTTCCTCCTCTCTCCTTCTCTCTCTTATTTTTATATTTTTCACATTTGAAAAGATCCTAGACAAAATATCAAATTGTAAAAGTCTGTGCACTTTGCTCGATAAAACGCGTAGACTCACTAGACACGTGTCGTACTCTGTGAAAGTTAAATAAACATACTCGTCAGTGAGAGTTTCACAGTTGACAATAGAGAAAATAGTTCTGTGTTATCTTTCGATCGTTCAACTTATTTTCTTCGAATCATCATAATTTTCTCTCATCATTTCCAACTTTACTTAACATTTTGTATATTTGCAACGTGAGAATTCAAGTAAAGAAAATGATTTTCTTCGAATCATCAACGATTCAGTTAATCATTTAGTATAATTCGCATAAGTAAATTATTAATTACAAAGCATACACCTTGGCAATTATTTTTCATCGCGTTTTTCAATGAAATAATGAAATATTGTCGAATAAGATAGAGCTCGGATTTATCTAGGTCATGCCGTCGACTCCATGGCGCAAGATCAAGGACACTATCCTCGATCACTTTCGTTTTGAGAGTAAGACCGGCCTTTGATTCCGAACTCAAGAGAGTACGGTGCTTGGTTTCCTTCTCGAGATCGTTCTTTCAAACGTTTCATTCCACCAGCTGTTAAATACTTCCGTTTGAGCATCCTCGTCGGTTGCAAATCATTTCTCTTATTTTATTCTCTTTTATTTGTGCTTATTTATATTGAAACTTTCCTTTTACTACTCGTTAAATGTCAAAGATGATCAAGGACAATCGTTTGCTTTCTAAAATCTTCGAGAAAACAAATTCGAAATGATTGAAAAATAATTCTACAAATTTGGATTATGTTTTTTTTGCGTATAGAATACTGTTTTTAAAATGGGGTCAAATCGGATCGATCGATTTTCTCCATTTTTCTCGGTCGATAAGGCACACGCGAGCAGACAAAGGTTGTGCACGAAAGATGAAACGTCATGTTTCTTTGTTGGGGGCGTTTCGTAAGACGAGCCATCTTCGAGAATCATCGCGTGACTTTCACCGAGGAGTCGCTCGCTCCACTAACTGTCTACGCATACAACTATGCGACTTTATGCTCTGGCGCATGTCAAATTCGAGAAAATTGTCTGACACGTGCCATATTCTCGTACTCCTATGTCTTTCAATTTCGCAAAAATGACTTTTAAAAGTAAGAATCGAGAAAGCGTTGACGAAAAAGAGAGAGATTTCGTTTTCTTGGGTCCTAAAGAAAATGTATAAATGTTACAAATCTTTTCATTGCCCGATACACATTCTTTGCCTTTTTTCATATTTTTAAACAATTGGTATTAAACGATAATTATTGAATAATTGATAGCAGTTGACGTAAGAAAAATATTAATGAAATTTTAAATTCATTAAATGAATATTAAAATCAATAAAATAAAATATAAAAAGGTAAAGATAAGTGTTTAGATATAATCGAATATTTCAGATGTTCCTGTTGATTTTATTATCATGCTGCTCGATAGTTCCGATCCTATCTGAAAAGACGTTGAATCAGAATGAACTGAAGGAACGAGCATCGGCACAATTACAACGATTAGCACCTTATCGAAGATCGATCGATCGAACTGGGCCGGATCCTCCTTCGAGTTCGGAGATGCCGATTATCGAACAAAAGGAATCTTTGGGGAAGTCGAAGGAACAGGAAGAACAAAGAATAGCTATGCAAATTCTCGAGATGATCGAGAAATCAGATGAATTTAAAAAAGCTATGGGAAGTATGAAGAAAATCGACGATAATAAATTGACGATCGATTTTGAAACGGATCCACGGTACACCGAGTTATTGCAAGAACAGGATAGAATTAAGCGATCGGGTTCAGGTGGTTTTGTTACCGGATCCAGTAGCATCATTTCGGGTATAGCAAGTGGAATAATTGGTGGGCTTACTAGTGCATCGGGAGCAGCTTCGAGAGGTTCTTCGGGAAGCAGTGGTCAACCTACTCATGTTGTTTACGGGCCACCTGTTCAACCGGTATCAAATATTTTATATACCATATATTACCTAATTTATTATTTATGATTGCATAATCGATCGATTATTTATTTTTAACGATTAGTTATTTTTCTATTTTAAATCTAAATATCTCATCTTTTGTCGACGTTACATCATCATTCGAAGTAAATGTCCCGTGAAAAGTGAGTTTTAAACGTAATGGAACGGAGAAAGGTGCCAATAATAATAATAGTAATATAATATCTTTTTCTTCTTCATTGGCGCGACAGTCCAATGCAAATTTTCAAGAATAACTTTTCGATAGATCAGTCAGGCCGATAATACAATATTCCTGGACACTGAGTACCCATTTTAGTCGGCTCTTACAACACGCATGAACTATTCTTCTTTCATACCCTCTACTATAAATTAGGTCATCGAGATTCTCTTCATCAAAGGAGGGAAATTCAAGTCAGTCTTTATTCCAAACTCGTTTTATCTCTTTCTCTTGTCAATCTCTTACAATTAGAAATATTTTTAAACGATGATCATCGCGCGATGAGGACGAAACAAAATCGAAAAACAATGAAAAAGTAATCTTTATATGAAATCAATCATGACAGACATACACACATCTTTTCCCGATTGATCGGATATGAGATTAAGATTGGACTCGATTATTTGAAATAACGATGATGAGAAATTAGAAGTAGTTTAGTAGCACGGATCTCGGAATATCATGCGAATAGTCTGAAAGGAACATTTATCATAGAAGAAACGTTGGATTTGGAAAAGAACAACAACAACAAGAACAACAACAACAAATTGCAAATGAGGAAGAAAAAAGGAGGAATAAAAAAAAGTCGTAAATTTGTATCATGCTCGAAGGAAATCTCCCGAAAATGAGGTCAACGATGCGACGCATCATTCTTTTTCTTTTTCTTATCTCTCTTTTTTTTCCTTTATTACCATGAAGAATTATAAACTAAATGACGTGTCTAGGCGATCGACCTACTGTTTTTGCTCAATTTAACGAACAGCGTTATTACATATCATAAGAGACATACCTACTTTCGTTCTTGCGTTACACATGATAAATCGATAAATCGCACGATAGGAAAGCTATTTCTTCTTTTATTCCTTATTTTCAGCCGCTTTCACTCGATTAACAAAAAATCTATTTTATTAATAAGTGTATCGAAAATTTGGATACACTTTACTAATTTAAAAATGATTCAAAGTTACGTTTTCCTTGGCTTTAGTAATTTTTCAAATGATTTTTTTGATTTCAGTATGGCGAGAAAACGTTCGACGTATGGGATTTCAAAAAAGCTATTTTGAATACCGTGATACAAGCATTAAAAGCCATAAGTGGTGGAGTTCTCGCATTAAAAGGCCAACTTATCAAAGGTGGTGGTTTCTTGGTATCTACTAAAGGAAAAATTATCAGTACAACCGGTGACGCCATAAGTTCGCTCGGTCGTCATATTGCGGCAAGTGCTGTTGTACAACCTCCGAAAGTACAATATGGTCCACCGAGTTATGGTTACGATCATCGACCGATTGGTAAGCAAATAGTTTCGATTAGGGGAAATAAAGAGGAAAGAAAAGAAATCGACGAATTAGACGAATTCAAGGTTCTCCCTTCGCAAATGATCTCTCCAACCGAACTAAATAAGACATTGACAGATCTAAATCAATTCGATCAATTCAATAATTCTACATACGTATAAATTTGATTATTCTAAATTGTTTAAAAATCAGAACACGACAGCACCTACGACGGACCCCCACCCCAAGTAGAGGATTATTCTGGACCAGCTAATCATTTCGACGGACATTATCCATCGGCATCGGACGGTAGGTCACTTAACTCTCAATTGCGAAAATCAACAGCTACAAAAAAACAACTGTTTCCCAATACTTTCCAATATACGTACCAATTTACATGACATGAACCATACAGGACGTAACTAACAATAATGTTTCATTAACATCTATTGCAAGACTTACAAATTACAATTCTTGTCTTTAACACTTGTGTGTCTTTAACATTTCTGTGTATTTAACAATTGTCATTTTTTCATATTTTTTATATCCACTCTCGTTTTAAAATGCATACATATAATAACTCATAATATATACAGAATGTTTCAAAATATGTGGGTATAACTTTAGGAGTGATTTATATGAAACTTTGTTGACTGCTTTCTTCAATTATTAAAAAGTATGCTTCTTATCTCATGTTGTCGGTCATTTCAAACAACAGCTAGTATTTTTTAACCATCGAGGAAGAAGATAAAACGTTTATATGATTACATAAACTTTTGTATTTTATTTCAAACCACCTTTGTTCACGTATTTTGAAACACTTTGTATATTAGTATATGTACAAGTGTATAATATTTTCTGAGATATATTTTAATCGATGAATGATTACTCTCTTTTAAAAATCAATTTGTTCAATACTCCATATATACTTTTATCTACAATACAAACAGGCTTCACGTCAAAATATTCGTCATTTCCGAGAAGGAGATTTAAGATTACGCGAGGAGAATAATTATCGTCGTAATTAAAGTCACATTAAAGTGTCGTCGAATAAGGAATCTTACTGTTTTCGATTATCCTGTGCGTGGGAAAGGCGGAAGAAGATTGGAACATCATCTCATCGTGATGGAAATCGTTTGTCTTCTGCAAAATTTAGCGGTTTAACTTTCAATAGCGTTAGTTCCTTATTTCGTTTTCTTTTTATTTTCATACGAATATATCAAAATTACGAGGCTTTCAGTTCCTAAACAACATGATGGCCTACTCTCGCGCGTATTTTACACTTTCGAAGATTTCACTTTCTTTTAGAATTCCTTTTCGAGAGAAATGAATATTTTTCCTTTTTCTTTCGACTTCTGTTACGTATAAACCCGCGTGAAATTCCAAAACTTATGTTCGAAAGGAACACATATAATTGAAAGAATCTATTTTACCAACTTTACCAATACAGTCAACAACAAATAACGCACATTACAGAGACACACAGAGACACAGTTAACGTCAAATTACAATAATAATGATAACAGCAACAACACAAACAGAATGGATTAGTAACGTTTAAGACGGGACTGACAGACGTCACGGTTTACAGACGATGATCGCTCAGGACCTCTGCTCGTGAAACCGACGAAGACGGAACAAAACGATCAGAATGACAAGGATCATCAACTAGAGCTGGATTTACGGCATCCTAATCTCCAAGATCTAGAGAATAGTTTCGGCGGGCCTCAAATGGGATCTAACGATCAGGAGCTACAAAAAAATCCTGGATATTCCTCGAACGATAACCAAAAGAATTTAGGTTCGTCAGCCATGTATCCAGGGCAACCTCAAGAAACGTTTAACTCGGAACAAGTGATTTATACCAAAGATCAGATTTACCAGTTGGACGGAAAAAACTTACCACAAATTTATCCAAACTCGTTGGAAGCTCAGAAAATAGAACCAAGTTTTTCATCTAACTTGGCAACACAACAATTGTCCATTCAACAAAGTCTAGAATATCCAGCGATTCATCTTCAATATTCCTTCCCGGAAAAGGATTTATCTATGCCAACTTATAACGATCTCTCTTCGTTGCATACAAATTTACCTTTGGCAACGCCGCAATTTGATACCTTAAAAATATCAATGTTGGAACATCAGAAAGGATTAGAATTACCAAAAATACAAGCACAAGATTTTAACGCTTTGCCAACGTTTTCGAGCGTTCACATTGATATCGCTGCTCAAGAACCTATAACTTTACCATTGTTAAATCCTATTAACGCTCATTACTGGCCAAGACGTAGCGCGTTACAACCTGCCATTCATTTTCCCAATAGGAATATCATTTGGAAGAGGAGTAGCATACAAAGGAAGAGGTTAGCAGCGAGATCGCCACCGAGTTTTCACGATAGGAGACCATTTCGAGTGTAGAAACTGTTCAGGATAAGACAGACGCAGGTAACATTACGTGAAATTCGGTTGACTTATTGGACTTAACTCTGGACTTAAACTCTAACGGTGATTCGGAGTATCGAAAGGAGAATTTTCAGGCCCACTAATTAAAATACCCCCCACCCCCGTATATTATGCACCCTTTATATACCGGGTGAGACATTTAAAACAGGCTAACTCCATTATTTTAAATAGATTTTTGAATGAACCATTTTTTGTTTCTATCACCGATAACGATCGATTGGCCTGTTTTAGATTCCTCGATATCCCTTGGATATTTGTTTTATTTTTGAATAATAAATTGAATAGAAAAGAAAATAGGACAGAAAGTTCGAAAATTCTTCGTAAATTTGTCGATACTACGACGAGTTCAAAAGTATAATAGCAACGCGACCGTTCCGGGCGGAAAGTCTGGAAAGTCGTCGAGTTTACTTTCGTTTCTTTGCTGCAATAGCTACAAGAAGAAAGGGGCGCCTGTTGATCGAGTAAAAGTCGACGAACCGCTAACGAAGCGAAAGTGTTCATAGGTCTTTGGGTCTTCTTGGTGGACTGGGGGCAAACGGGGGCGAGGGGAGGGGGAGAGGGAGGGGGAGAGGACAGAGAGGGGCAGATAGGCGTGAAGAGGAGGATGAGGAAAAGGGGGGAGGCTTTCTCATCGATTGATATTCATATGGATACAACGTGAAACATTTCTAACTAAACTATGAAATACAATTATTATCATTATATATCTTATATGATTGGAAACTCGAATCGTGACGTAAATACTCGATAAGATCTTATAAACTATCTTGACAATTTAGACTTTAGATAGAAAAGAAAAGAAACGACTTACCTAATAAAACAGATCAAAATCCTTCATTTCTTATTGAACGAGAACGAGATCGCGATGTAATTAATTTCTAGTTTTTCTGGAAAAGTTTTCTGTCTGTGAAAAGAAAAAAAGAAAATATTTATGCGCATATCAAGCTAGGTAAAAGATTTCTTAAATCTTTTGAGAAATTGTAAAGGTAATTAATATTAGAAATTATCTGTTTCAGTGGTCTATTCGTATTCATTCTATCCATATCCATACAGAAGTTGGTACAAGTCATCGGAGTCTTACGTGGTTTAAAAGCTCTTTCACATGAAATATTAGGAAATCTCGTATGGAAGAAGGTGCCTTGAAGAAAAATAGAAAAACCATGTGCGCGAACGTGCCAAAATCCAATCAACGTTGTTATCTCAGTGTTTTTACTTTTTAATCCAACCAGAATGAGCGAGAGATAAAGTATTACACGCGTACGAGCAAGGAAGAAACTTTTTTTTCTAACGAATTCTATATAATGAATTATATTTTGTGATACATGTCAACGATCGACTGATGCCATTGACAATTGAAAGTACGAGCACGTGCTTTTTAAATGGTTTCAAATTGACGAGTGACGCCATCTACTAACGAAAGAATCAACCATTTCGAGCATGGAACTCGTTTCCGATCGATTCTTCAAACATTTAAATTCCTTTCAAATAAAAACAAATCAAAAGAGTTAAGTATGTATGTTGGTTAATTTAAGTCTTACGGAGAATCTACATTTTTTTTAGTAATTTCATTATTATTACAAATTATAGTGGCATATTTTTGTTTCCCTCTGTCTAACAGTACTGTAAAATAAATTGTAAAATAAAAATTGTAAGAATCTTGTAAGAGAAATGAATGATTGATCTTAAGAGATAAATCAAACGTGTAGAACTAATGTAGAAAATAGATATAAGCTATGGGAAAAGAAAAAAAGAATAAAAAATGTAAAAAGAGAAAAAATACGTATTGATTATACATATATCAATGACATATTATGATTAAACAGTTAAAATCTAAAATCTCAGGTAAGATGGATGGGTGTCGGTCACGCGCGAGTAAACGCGGTGAGTTGCGCGTTTGGTCCATTATCCAGCATCCTTTTAACAAGAGTAAAAGAGAGAGCCAGAAGTTTCTAAGTTCAACGGACGACATTCACGAAATAAATCGTACGGATCAATGTCCTCCGTCGATCTCCTTTCGTTCGTCGTCGAGGTCGAGAAACCTGCGAGTAAAACGCAAACCGCAAATCCGTTTGTGGATTCATCATTTTCAGACAAAAATTGACGCAAATTATAGATCCGTTGTTGCGTCAAAGACAAAAAAAAAGCAATTCCGCGATCGTATTCTTTTGTAATATCATAAAAGATATAATATATATAAAAGAATAGTGAACTATGGTAATAAATCAAACACACGCGGCGATTTCTAAATCGCGTGCGAGCACCGAAGAAAATCGCTAACGTGCTTCGTTGAACGGAACGTCGATAATCGCGAAGATCGCTAACTAACAAACATGGCGACGATGTATATTATACATAGGATAATTTCAAAAGCTTACGTGTGTGTGAGTATGTGTAATGTTGTAGAATAGAATAAAGTAGGTCACTGGATCGCACACGCACCTCATTCGCGATCGTTTCTTACAATTAGTCTTTTGCCAGTAGTAGCGTTGGTGGTGGTAGTAGTAGTAGTAGTGGTAGTAGTAGTACCACCAGGGAATCCGGAGAGTCGAATATATGGAGAGAAACGAAAGACGACCAGTTGATCGATCCATCGATCGATCGATCGATACATATATGGTCCGAGGATAATGTACCTGCCGATTCGTCCCTTCGAATTGCCATTACCAACTTTTTTCATTAGTAAACTGTAGTTGATTTAACAAAGAAACACGTTGCATTATATTTTAGATTAAGCGAACAATAATATTCATAGGAAATAATAATTAGTTTGATGATTAAACAAATGAAATCAAATATTTAAAATATAAATATAGTATGTAAGCGTGTCCTTTTAAATTACACGATGTTTAGAAAAGTAAGAAGCATTTAAATTATGCACAAATTTGTAATTACTTTGATTTCATTATTGAAACACTCAAATTATTCTTGTCTTTATCTTAAATTTCATTTAGTACGATTAATTGCATAGCAATGAAAACAATGTCAAAGAAATAAAGAATTTCTTTCGGCGATGAAACTCGCTGGGTAGTGCACTGAACGCATCGAAGCGAATGCGAGAGTAGGAGGAGTAAGTAGTGTAACCTTTTGGCTTCCCCGATGATCAACGTACGTCCGCCGACGAGTATAAATGAAGGACAATGACCTAATTGCGTGCAGAACGCGCAGTGCTTCCTCGACGGCCAATAACCAAGGCCACCTGAAAGATTACGAAAACCCGGTTTCCGGTTTTCCGGGTTCGAATCGCGAGAGGAAAGCCGGTCGTTTGATATTTCTCTGTGTGGCACATTTTTTTTAGGGTTGCATCTCTAACTCTATCTTTTTTCGATCATGAAGGTAAGTCGATTATTCATATCATTTACAAAAATAATTCAACCAAAAATTGTTCACCATTATCCATATTAGTTGCATCGATTTTAATTAATTAAATGTTCTCATTTAAAACTCGTTATATTATCTTTTGAAATGTCATTTTTCTATTAGTTATTCTTACAAAGATCATTTCCAGTTTCTTTCTAATCTCATTAAACTTTCAAATACTAATCGCATCTAAATGCAATTTTATGTATTAAGACGATGATACCTGTTAAACAAACGTTGACAACATAAAATTTGGATGATTGTTAGACTGTGAATAATGAAAAAGAGAAGTGACTTAGCAACAATCGATCGAAATACCTAATTAAATAATTCGAAGGAATTGATCTTCGAAGTCACTGTAAGCAACAGGTGCAGAAATTTCTATCATGTTTACGAGCACTCGTTATACCATACACATACATACATCATTTTCACGGTTCGTCGTATTTTCTTCTCTCGTTCACTACTCTCTCTCTTTCTCCCCCCCCCCTCCACTCCCGTCCTGCTTATCATCGCTTTTCTTCGCATCGATGTGGGACAATGTCCCACTTCGATTCGTCGACTCACCACGAAACTTCTGTTTCTTCTCTCTTTTCATCCACTAGAGCATCAGACGCGCGCACACATATCATTCATAAATACAGTACATATACAAAGCCAAAGTTATATGCTGGCTAGAAGGAAAGAAGAGAGGCACGTGCCAATATGAAGTACCGTAACATCACGGTATCATCTTAACATACCTGGATTTCCGGTTATGAACGCTCGAATTCGTCTCACGTATCGTTTAACGAAAAAGATTGTCGGAACATAAACGTCTGAAAGAAAAATTAGATTATCGAAAGCCCATTAAACGATGTTAAGCTGTTGAAAATTCTAGGTGATCGGTTGGACTTGTTGGCTCTTGGCCATGTGTATCTGTTTCTCCGAAGCAAGGCAAAAACTAAGAAGACCTTTAGCCCCTTTGCCTCATGCACCACCGATATTCAAGAAATCATGGCCAATGGGACCTAGAATTTCAATGGGAAATACGATACACATTGGTGCAACTTTCCCTCATAAAAGAATATCTTATAAAGCTCCAAATTATAGGTAAGAGGAAAAGGGAATGAAATAGGAAGGACGGTGTTCTTCTTTATTCCCTTTTCAAATGTTTCCAAAATAATACAAAAATACGAGCCTGGTGCATCAGGCAAATCATTCTCGATCTCAGAATTAGACGGCCTCCGATGTTCAACGTCCTTCCTACTACCTGGAAAACTCAAATGCCAGTTCTTGGAATCTTGAATAATCATGCTGTACTCCCACAACGTCCACCGATCAAAGAATTTCATACAATGAACCAAGTCCCGGAATATAGTCCGGAATACAGGTCCGAACCTATAATATTGCCACCGGCTCATCGAGGAACCATCGACGACGATAAAGGCCCTATTCATACGATACCTGCACCTAATCTCAGCCCAGCGGATAAACCTTACAATTCTGAAGCTAATTCTGGACAGCAAACCGTTTCTCAGCATCAGTATACTAATCTCAATCTACAGAGTGAGTTTGAAGAAATAGATTTATTTAATGAAATAATATATGACAATGATATTCCATTGATTTCAGCTAATACGTTGGCAAACGATTTCGGATTAGCGACTATTGGCACTAGTTTAGTACCTCAACGAACGGTAACCAGTCCAACGCCTGCTCAACATCAATACGAAGTAACAGAGAATAATGATCTATCTCAAAAAGAGTATCATACTGTACAACCAACGTTTTTCACTCCGGAATTTGACGTAACCAGGTTGGCTACTGTAGTCAATCCTGACCTACAAAGCAACGAAGTTTTCCTCAATCATCCACCTATAACAAACACGGGTTTAGCGAATATTCAATTCGGTCAAACTGACACACCGATGCAAACGAACTTGCGTAGTTCTCTTCACGTGGGTTTCCCTGGTACTGCCACTCAGGCAGCTAATACGATTGGCAACCAAATTCCTGACTTGCATGTTGGACATCCGGTACCAGCTGGACCTCCTTTATCCGCTACTCAACTTTACGATCTCTTAAACAGCTTCCCGCATAAACTTACGGAACAATATACGGCAGGTTCGTAATTTCATAGAAATGTTAACCGACATATCGAGAAATAACGAATTTTAGTAATAATTACATTTACAGGTCAGCAACCTCAACTACAACAACACTTACTACAGCAACAACTCGGCCAACTTCTCCAACCTAACGGAGCCACGAGTTTCTCTCAACCACAGATGCATTCCTTTAATTATGATGAGCAAGACAATCAGCAACAGCAACAGCAACAGCAACAGCAACAGCAACAGCAACAGCAACAGCAGCAACAACAGCAACAATTAGAACACGAACAGCAACAGATATTATTAGATCAAAATTTCGCATCCAGTAGAGTTACAGCGGATTACAATTTGGAGGCAGAACCCTCGTCGAATATACAACAGACTGATCTACAATTTGACGACGAATTAAGCTATACCGCTGAAGTACCGGTCGAACAAACAGAAAATAATATTGATTATGAAGAAACAAATAATCGAGCTGCACAATCCACATATTTCAACAAAATTAACAACAACGGTGCACTATCGACACAATTCTACACATCTTTGCCTAGTCGCGAAGCAGCAGAGAAATTAGCTGCATTAGCTGCTGCTGGAAACGTAAATAGTCAGTTGATCGAACATTTACGAAAGCAACAACAGGAGAACCAACAACAGCAAAGCGAGACTATGCCGTCTAATCACAAGGATGAGAGTTATCAAGATGCTCAACAACAACAGCAACAGCAACAGCAACAATACGAATCACAATACGAACAGCAACAGCAGTATCACCAGCAACGTATTCAACAGGAACAGGTATACCCGTAATAAAATGATAAATATTTAAAAATCTAGATATGTTACATATATAATAATAATAATAATAATAATAATTTCAATTTTTATAGACTGAAAATGAAAGACGTGATAAACAACGTTTTCTACAACAGCAACATCGACGAAGATTAAATCAACAAAATTTGAATCAAGAAAAGCGACCTTTACGGATAATGGTACCCGATGACGAAGAATACATGAACGATTCCGATTCACAGAGCAACGAGAAAATAGAGTACGAATACGAGATTGATGAAGACGACGCGAAGGATTTTCGAACAACTACTTCGTCGAACGAGCGAGTTGTTTATGATCAAAATTCTAAATCTGAATTCGGTACACGACTTAGATCTAAAACTGGAAAATGAAAATATTTATTAATATAACACGTTATATAATGACGATTATTTATCGATGAGTATCAGGATATTGTTAACAGGTAATTTCCATGATCAAAACGATTATGCAAAAGCAACAATCGATTGATAGCTTTCCAATCATTCTTCGAGATATATCGTTCTAAAGCGATCCTACGAGAATCGCTGGATTAATTTAATTTTTATTCGGTATTATTTATTTATTTATTTATTGTATTTAGGCTATTTGTTGACTTATTTATTTCTACCTGCAAAGAAATAGAGTATTTCCAATGTCTTACATAATTTTAATATTTTATTTTGAACAACCCGCGTAATTGAAAGGTAATTATACTCGTGTGTATTTACATACTCATCATTTTGATGAAATATTAATATGATACAGGAACCAGTATTCTTTTCCTTTTTGGTTAGGAAGAGAAACGTTAAAAAATCTGTATTGGGAACGGCCATTTCCATTGGTTTCTCTAGTCTGGTTAGTCACTTTCAGTTTTGACACAATGTTTTTTCAATCGACAAAACAGGCACGGAAAAAAAATCTTAATTTTACTGTTAAAAATAGAATACGCACATCTCGATGACGTTATTTGATTTTCATCATTGTTACGAAAAACTGTACTAAGAATGATCCATGAACCATGGTTTACCGTCATTTGTCAGACGTTTTGTTAGAATATCACAACCCTTTTCTGTGACCAAAAGAGTTTGTTCGAATTGTGCTGACCATCGACCGTCTGCTGTGACAGCAGTCCAACCATCGGGCCACATTTCATCCCTCCATGTACCTTGAGATATCATTGGCTCTATTGTGAAGCAGTGGCCGGGTTTCATAATGCCTACCGCTTTATTTTCTAAAGAAAATCTCATGTACTAAATAAATCGCAAGATATATCTTTGAAATTATAATAAATAGATATTACTTACTGGCGTAGTGCGGTACATTCGGTGCAGTATGGAAAAGACGATGTATGCCATGTCCACAATAACTACGTACGACGCTGAAACCATTAGCCTGAGCATGCTTCTGTATCACATTACCGATATCTCTGTATTTTTCACCAGGGCGTACAATATTTATAGCTTTCGATAAACACTCGTACGTTACTTCAACTAACTTTTTGACTTCTGGCTTAACATTTCCTACCAGAAAAGTTTCATTCAGATCTCCATGAAAACCTTTATGATATACAGTGACATCGACTGAAAATAAAGAGATCATTCATTAAAAAAATGCAGAAATAATAATTTATTAATGATCGAATGATCACAACTCTTACCATTACAGATATCTCCATCTTGTAGTGGCCTGGTATCAGGTATACCATGGCAGATTACTTCATTGACCGATGTGCAACAACTAGCAGGGAACTGGTAATAGTTCAATGGAGAAGGATAACAATCTCGTTCTATACAGGCTTCGTGGACAACCCTGTCAATTTCCGCTGTTGTAACACCTACATCGCATGCTTTTGCAGCCTCATCCAAGACCTCTCGACCAAGCTATGTACATTATTCTAATTTTAAGACCAACCAATTAATAGCTTACATATATAAATAAGTAGATAAAAATGGCCTTAGCACATTCAGAAGATTTAAGATTTTATGTAAAGTTCGACAAGGTGCATCACCTTGCAAGCAACACGCATTCCTTCAATCTCTTCATCGTTGAGCATTTTAATTTGAGCAGAACCTCTGACTGCTTGTTCGCTAATAGGAATTCCAGTTGGATGTCGAGCATAGTCTGGACGGCCAATATATTCTGGTACTTCACGACGTGGTAGATTCTTGAAGGGACGTAGCTTTCCAGTGTAGTGAAAATTGGGCCAAGGATTGAACTCTTTGGTAGTTTTATCCGTATTTTCTCCTTCTAATTATATATAAATAAAAAGAAGAAGAGAAACCCTATTAGTAACTTACTGTAATAAGTCATAGTAATATCTGAAAGGAAATAGAACCATACTCACTTGCAAGTTGATGAATTACTTTATGCGTGTTCCAACTTTGTTTAAAGCATTTCTGTAAAAAATAATATATATACATATAAAAGTATTGTAAATGAATTAAAATAAATTTAAATACTGTGTTATAGAGTAAAAAAAATGAATCGACTACTTGAAATAGATTAAAATGATAAAAAATGTTCCTTATATTTCTTTTTTTTCCTCATTGTTATATTGGTCGGATTGGATTACATAGACAAAAAAATAAACTGACCGACTTAACCTATAAATGTACGTAACGAATCCTTACCTGAGTACAAAAGTATGAGCCCTGTATACCAATTTTTAAGCAGGTTGGACATTGTAAGCTAGCTTCTGCTTCGCATCCAGGTGTTTCACATTTTCCAGGAGCAACCGCCATTGTCGAATAAAAGATATTAATATCAAATAGGTTTCGTTCACGTCGTGACTACGCAAAGGAGGCACGAAACCGTGATGTAATAAACTACACCTCCTTCTTCGGCTGACCAATTGGAGCGCGATCATGTGACGCGGGATCGGAACAAAATTCAAAATTCTATTTCAGTTAACATCCTTTGCAAATCGATGCAAATCTATCGTTTCGTTCTTTGCGATATATTTTTCTTTGTTTTACGCGATATGTTATTCGTTATTTGTTCAATTTCATTTTTGTTTTTATTTCTTTTACAATTAGACATAATGAGGATAGCTATGCATGTTGCAACTTACATTTGTAGTTTTGTTTTGAAACTTTGAATTATCGTTTCTCGTTGTATCAATTTTTTCTATAAAAACATTTATTTATTAGCAATAAAGTAAATATTTGAAATAGATTACTTTGTAGTATCTTTCGTAAAATTTCAATTGATATCTTCCAACATGAATACGTTCGTAGAATATTTTACATTAGTTGGCATTTCGGTAGATATACTCTTTGATACAATAACGTTTCCTCTGTTATTGATAATCGAATTACAAAGCACGAACTCGCTTTTATTTTCTCGAAAATTTAATCGAATTTACTACTTTACCAGATTCAATCTCGCTCGTATATGAACGATGGTGCATTAACATATGTATGTCTAACGAATTCCTGCGTATTTTCTCGGAGCAAGCTTCGTTTATAGATTTCCCGAATGGAATATTGTTGTATATTAGAATCGAGAAAGAATATGAAGGATAAATCTGCTGACTTTGGGTCACTCGTGGATGGCCGTAAAAAAAAAGAAGAAGAATATACATACTCAACGATTCCATGTATTCAAGAAGAGTGGCAAAAATGGTTCTAATAGAGATAAATCAACTTGTAGAAAAAGTGAATGAGAGTTCCGAATTTTATGGCAAGAATATTTGACCGATTTTAGAAATAGAACTTTGTTTGATTATTTTTGAAATATTGAAAAATGTATATATTTTTCCTACGCAAAGTGATTGCAAAAGAATAGATTCTATCGGCATTTGGTGTATATGCCGTAAAGTTCGATTACAAACGAGATCAACGGTTTGAATATAGTACCTACTCTCAAAGCACGTTTCACGTTTGATCATACTCATCATATTAATTAACGTAGTCAAACGTTTTAAAGCGAGGCATTTATCATCCCCCTGTTCGACGATCGTTTTAAAGCTCTCTCTCTCTCTCTCTCTCTCCCTCCCTCTCTCTCTCTGTCTATCTTCGTCGATGAATGGAAACTGTGTGCTCTGTGCGTGTCCTTGACTTTTTTACGTTAGCATCGACAAAAAAAGAGGCGGAAAAAATTATTAAAATTGTTACTCGGAATTCCATCAAGCTCGCATAGGCCTATTAAACGAGCTGTCGCTTTATCAGAACCTTCGTAATGTCATTATATTTTATACATCTGTACAGGGTGTCCTAAAAATTGAAGTTAGTGTTGTTAAAAAAATCTAGGTCCACGCGATGCTTTCCACAAGAAATATTTATCACCAAAAATGTTTTCATTTACGAATTCAATAAAAGGATTTTTACGCGACATCGCGCGTCTACATTTATATATATTTTAACAAAGAGTATGGTAAAATATTTCGAAAAAATATTCTCGCGTTGTAAGAAATGGGTCAATTAAATCGTCGATTAATTAATTAATTAATTAACGAAGGTAAAGATTGGATAACAAAAATGGAACAAATTATTCTGAAAAGTCGATGTTTAAGAGTTTAAGTCTTAAGAGATTTCGTTTTAGCGATTATTTCAAAAAATTCTCGTCTAACAGAAGTAAAGAAGTTTTGTTCGAAAAGTTCGACGAGCCAACAAGGTTTATTATGCGCAGAGCAAAGAAGAGTGCCTGTTAACGCTGATTAATTACTACATAGTTGGCGGTTCTCTTAAAGACTCCTGTATGTTCGTTTTACTGCTTTCTCTGTCTGTCTCTCTTTTTTTTCCTTCCTTCATTTTTTCTTCCGCCATACCATTTCTCTCTTTTATTCATTAATATCAATCTCTTAGTTTTTTGTCACTCCTCTTTTCCTTTCTAAAGAATGTTCTTTATTTAACTTTTCTCGGATTTCATTTCGCGATCCAAGGTAACGTATTGGACAGGAAAAATTTCAAACACGAATGAAATGTTATTTAAAATAATAACTAATTGGAAGATATAAATGTAATCGTTAAGTTTGATAGTTTCTCTGGGTAAAATGAAAAGAAAACAATGAAAATTTGTAACTATTCAAGCTTGACCGTTTAGATTTGTTCTTCGTATAAATATATATATTAGATGGTGTATAGCCGATGCGTTTCATTCGTTCTCATTGCTCGCTAGGATCGAGCAGCAAATCGAGAAAATATAGGCACGAGAAGGGAAGAGAAGAGGAAGCGAATAATCGCGCCAAATTTTACGTTCGATCGATTTCATTTCCATTCGAAACGGCTGCTAGCTATGGCGATGTTGCTCGTTGGTTGTTGCTCGAATATAAGAATTTATCGTTTGTGCGGTGTGCTCCACTTGCACAGCTAGCTTTGCTGCCTATCTACAGTACCTACCTAGCGTATTTCCACGCGCATGAAATATTAACGACACGAGTGCGATTTCACTGAGGTTCCTTTAATTTTGCCCACGAATCTCCCACGAATATTCTACGATTTCTATCCAATCGAAAATCTACTCGGGCGATCAAAAAAAGACAAAAAAACATGCACATTTTTTATCTATAATTAGAATGCACGTGAAATAATTGAACATCGGTTTCTTCTCGATCGATCAATTTGTAAATCCAACTAATGTAAAAGGCTTAAATTATAAACCAAGCGACACCTGTACAACGAGGAGAGATGATGTATTATACTAACGCCGATAGAGGAAGAGATAGAGATAGTGTGAAGCGTGCCTGTTGACGACAAGAATAGTCGAAACAATGGTCGAACGATTTGTTTAGATAAGCGACGTTGGGCGTATCGAGGGAAGTAGGCATGGGGGTGTGGATAGTCGTGCTTTCGGATGTGACACGTTAAAAGAGAATTCGGTATTTCCCTCCTATCGTCAGAGATTATTCTTGCGGAGGGTTTCCGGGCAGCGTCGACATGCACTTACCCTTCGACAGACAGACTGACAGGGTTCCTAAAGGGTGATCCCATGACAGTAATCCGATACTTGACCGATACACGTTCTCGCGTGGGACAGGGAACACGTGTTTCTGTGGGCGAAGGGCCAAACAAGCCGTTGTCTCTCTAGTCGAATATTTATCGGTTTAGTTTGTGTGCGTAGCTCGATGAAACGCAAAGGAAGGGGTTGGAGGGGTGCATTTAGTCGAAGGAAGGAACGTGGTCTCACCCTTCTCAGATCAAAGCCAGATACGAGTCGAGTGTTACGTAAAAGGATATTGCCGAGTTACCGAATTAGCTAGTCCCTACCATTTCGTTTTAGGACCAATGGATCGGGTTATATTTGTAATTCGTGGCAAGAAGATGCTCGGTCAGTGTCTCGGGCACCCTCGGTTAGGGGCGCGGAGGAGCGAGGGGCAATCCCTCTCTTGGCATCCCCTCTGGTGGTTCGGTCTACCTACCTATCCCTTCCTCCAGCAGGATCCCACCTCTCTGTCACTCCCCCTATCTCTATCTCTCGCTCGACTTAATGCCAGTACGAGCGCGCGCTTTCGAACGACGCGTTCGCAGCCGCGAGGGACGATCAGTCTGTTCTCCACGTTCTCCACGCAAGGACGATTCGTTCCTCGGTTCTCTCGAACTTTGACCGGCCTCTCGCTTTACTTATCGTTTTTTCCTTTCCTTTTCAACTTTTTTCTCCTTCCTTCCCTCTCCGCTCTGCCGTTTCATTTTCTTCCGCGAAAAGTGATTGCGACTAACTGAGATTAATAAGAAAGAGCTTGGGATATTCTTACGTCACATACCTCGTGCCAATTTCTTCTCTTAGTTCTTTGATAACACCAACTAATTGTAAGTATCTCGTTTAAACGACCACGCGATAATATTCGCGCGAAATTTCAAAAAGAGAAGAGAACAGTTTTTCGTCACAAAAACGAAGCAAGTATCGATGTTTTATATTCTCCATTTTTATGTCTCCAAACAATCGAGGAAAATTAGTTTCGCGTAGACGTGCTTAGTGATTTTCATTTCGACCAGTTTTCCCGCCACTGCCGAGAGAGAGAGAGAGAGAGAGAGAGAGGGAGAGAGAGGGAGAGACACGAAATGATCCGTCAATGTGAATAGAAATAATCAAGAAAAGAGAAAGGAGGAAGCGTTATTGCAACGATAAAAGAAATACGAAAGAAAGTGAGATAGCGAAAGAGAGAAGAAAACAACGGCAAATGAATTTATTCGAACGGTAGTAGGATCGGTCGGTGATGACCGAATCGTCGATCGAATTCTACCTTTTCGTCTCGTTAATTCGATCGATCGACGCGAGATGAGCTTCAAGATGGAGATCATCCTGTCGATACTGTGCTTAACGGCGGCATGTCTCGTTGACGGTCGGGCCGTTGACAAGGATTCATATCAATTTGAGGAAACGAAACATCATCGACATCATCGTCGTAAAAGATTTACCATAGAGGAGCTGACCAACACGAGATTTCCTCATGCGATTACCGGCGACCTGGACATCGATGTCTGCAAGGCAGGTGAGCGTTCTCCTTCTACCATTTTATTTTCCTTTTTTCTCATTTCTCCACTTTCCTTTTGCGGAGAATCAAATAAAAATTTAGATTTCTTTCAAATTCATCCGATCGAAAGGAACAAACGATTACCCTGCATCATTTCTTCCTTCCGAACTTAATTCGAAATCCTTCATACCTTTCTTTTTTTCTTCCAACTCCCTCTCTTTTATTCTTTCGTATTATATAAAAGCAAAAAACGATCGAAAAATCAGATGCAATTGTCCATTGGAGTTAAAGCTTTGTACTAACAAGGTAGGAGAAAGATAGGAAGGGAACAAAGGGACAGGTAAATTGGCCAATCAAGGACCAAGAGTCGGTTAGAAGGAAGCACTGACCATTACGGAATGAGAGAACTCATTCCTTTTTCCCTCTTTTTCTTCGATAATCTCACTCTCGCCGTTTTTTCTTCTTTTCGTAAAGAAGGTAGGAAGGAAGGAAGGAAGGATGCCTACTCATTTCCTTTTCTATCTTTTTCTTTACTTTTTTTTTTACGTAAAAAGAAGAAAGATGCAAGAAAGGAAAAGAGGAATAAAGTAGGGAGAGACTTGGATGAAGGAACCTTTCATCCTTTTCGAGTAATTATCGTCGACGCGTTTCTTTTCGTCCTTCGATACTTTCCATCTGAAGTGTATCGGCAGATCTTAAAAGAGTAAAAAGATCAAAAAGAAAAGCTGCAATTGCATCGATTACTTGTTCCGGGATCAAAATACGATTAGTCGAGTATTTTGGAATGCTTGTACATTTTATCTTCGTCATTCGAAGTAATCCATCCAATTTAAAAGCATAAGAGAGACATTAATGATAGAAATTCGCATTAAATGAGAAAAGGATAAATGTAGTAAGCTTCGATATTCACTATTTATCTCTATCCTATATCCATTTGTTCGGATATCTTATGTTAGATGTTTGCTTTGTGGAAAACGAAGTCAAAGGGTTTTACGGAAAACTAGGACAAAGTGTAAGCATGCGAAAGAGAGAAAACAAGACCTTTGCGACAAACGTATCGATACTTTGGAAACTTTGCAAAAGCACCAATCCGATTGACGTGTATATATTACAGTACAAATATATCTGCATAACGCGTAGCTAAAGTATCAAACAAATCTTCGGCCGAACTTATGGTAGCCGATAGTTTGGAAGAGGGGGGAGGTTACGAAGCACCCCATCTCATCCTGTATATGTATATGTTGTCTCTTTTTAATGTTGTTTCCTTATTTCCGTTTCAAATCACAACGATTCTAAAGAAGTTTTCGCATGAAAAAATGATATTAAAATCGCTTTGAAAAGTGTTACTTTCCTACTCGAGAAATCGTTTCCTACGCTGACTCGAACTGGAAGGATGGAGAAACTCTCTTTGGTCAAGCATAAGTATTAAGAGAGAGAGAGAGAGACAAATGCAACTAACAAAACTACGGCAAATCGTTGAGGGCCGAACGATGGGCCATCATTTACTAATTTGCGTCGAAATACGGGCTTGCAAAAGCGAATTTGGCCCTGTTCTCCCTTTTCTCTCTTAAACCAACCATCTCTGTTTTCCTCTGCTTCTCCAACTCTCGAATGCAAGTTTCAGCAATTTAGATCGAGATCAAAAGCCATCGAATAACGCCTCCTCGATATGAACGTAGTACACACCACCGACGAACCTGACTCGGACAACTGCTTTTACTCATTCACCTCTATTCTCTATCTTCTTATTTTTTCTATTTCTATCTCCCTCTCATTGCATTTGCTCGTTAACAGTTCTCCTATAATTTCAGTTTAGGTGCAAAGTTTCGAACAATGTGCAGGACTAAATTAACGCGGTGGTAATAATAAATGATATAAGAAAAAAGGTAGGATTCTCATAAAGATTTATTATAAGTCTTATGAGAGAGTCATTAATCTTTTTCATCGAGAATATCCATCTCTCTATCTTTTCCTTGTTCTATTTTTCTCTTTTGGTAGTTATTTCCACGCTCGTCTGGTTTGTTCATATCTACGACTTACACTTACCCCTTCGTACGTATACATGTGTGTACATATATCCTTTTATCCAGGACGACTTCCATTCTTTTGTAACTAATGATCGTTCGGAATACTTGGCGGAGTGTGTAACACGTAGACACTCGAGGGAAACGCGTTTTCCTTTCCAGAAGATTACAATGTTATCGTATAGTGCTCAAGTCCTCCCTTTACCTTCAACGCGAAAACCAATAAGAAGAATGAGTGAACGAATGAAAGAAGGAAAGAGAGAAGACAAAATAAAATGTCCTCGAGATTTTCTTCCCGAATGATTTTCTACGCGAAGCTTTTTCCCTTACACGACCAACTTTCTTCCTCTTCGTCCACTTTTTCTTCTTCTTCTTTTTCTTTTTCTTGTTTTCCCTTTTCTTCATTTCATCGACTTTTGCCGGTCATCAGGAACGAGTGTAATTATCAACGCGACTGACTTCTCTATCTGCGAGCACTCGAGGCAAGAACTTTTCGCGAAATTACTACTTGGTTCCTATAAAAAGAACGATTTTCATCTTAACTGCTTCTTCTCCGAAAGCATTTTCTTTCTCTTTCTCTCTTTTTTTCTTTTTTTTTTGATTTATTCACCCGAGGGTAGTTTTCTTCAAATTCGTTTTCGGACTTTACATACTTTTCTTTTTTGTTGCTCTTGACTTCTCTCTCTCTCTCTCTCTCTCTCTCTCTCTCTCTCTCTCTCTGTTCGTTTCTTTTTATTTATCGTTATGCTCGAAATAAAATCCTAAAAATACGTTGAAAAGGAAGAAAAGAAATCGCGCGTTACTTAGTATTTTTGTCGAAGATGTTAAAGATCGAGTTTGAAAATCTTTCTAGTCATATTTTGCATACCTTTAATGAACCGAGAGGAATTTTTGGCATTCAGCCTGAGAAAATTGCCACGGTAGCAATCGACATGCCGGCATTCGTCGAAGCACGAACGAACGAGTTGCTAACGAGCAAAAAGTCTACCTTTTAAATGCATTTGCTAACAGTCAGCTGGATAAATTCGGTTCATTCTGAATCTTTCTCTTTAATCGCATAACTGTAAATCTTTGTTGTATTAAAGTTACTCTTTGTTTTTTATCCAGGTCTAAAAGAATTTGTATTTTTTCGTCGAAACTATTAGGAAATCGCAACCTTCCTACTTTTCATTCGTACGATCTCACTCGACCTTCGTTAAGTAGCCGAGGCAGCTCCTTTCGAGAGGATAAAACCAAGAGGATTATAAATAGAGTGCAACGAGTTTCTCGTCTTTAATGTTATCCTACTATCCTTACTCCCCTTCCCTTTTTTTTTTTTTTTATACATTTCAAATATTTCCTATACAAAGTGATCGAAAATCCTTTTTTAAGCCGCTTTTCTCTATGGAAAATTCGTATTATGTACTCCATCGCGTGGAATTAGGATCACGTTTGGAAGAATACTCGAAACAAATCCATATCTTTATAAATTATACGAGAAATGATTACTTTAATATAATAAATTATTAATTATTATTATGAAGATTTATCCGACGTAAAAATACAATCGAATTGGAAAATGTTGGAAGTAAATCTATGCAGGCTTGAGCGTATGTGTACACACACGCGTACGCGTACACACACGCGTACGCGTGTCGAATAAAAATGTGAAGTGGGTGTAAAGCGACTGTTTGACTCGAAAATATTTCCCTTTGCAATTCTCTTTTCAGAGGATTTATTCGCACACGCATAGACGCTTTCTGCATACAACCGCAAGCAAGCACTCACCTACATACACACCAGAGAACAAATGGTATGTCGCTTACTGGGAGATAATACCGTTCAAAAATCCGACAAAGGTAGATGAGCATTTCGTCGAACGAGAGACTCGAGTCGCCTTGTTATTCGAGTGATGTTAATGACGTTCGGCTTGCGAGTTTCTCCGTTTTCTGAGAGAGAGAGAGAACAAAAATAAAAATAACTCTTACTCTCTCGCGTGCTTTTTTTGCGACTGCATCCTTTCAGGTTCTCTTGGCGCATTTGTTTAGTTTCACGTACAAACTTTTTATCTCTTTAACTAAGCGTGCCAATATATTTTCTCGTTTTTTTTTTTTTTATTTTATTTGAACTTTTTAAATACTGTCGCCTAAATGTGAGAGCAAATTCAGTTAGCAAGTAGCTATTTTATTCTCTTTCCTCGTCGTTCGTCCACGTTGATGATCGATAGAATATAAAAACATCCTGTTTGGTTTGTCATTATCTGAGAACGACGACGGAATCAAACGGTCCTCCACGTCGGCCTCCTGTGTCCTGTTGGATGAACGAGCAAACATGCGTTATGTTTGCCAATTAAACATTCCGGCTAATCCGTAGGAATTAACGTTCGACCGATGACGATAATGGCACGCGAATGAAAAAATTCTATTACACATTGGACCCTCGCAGTCGAATGTGCTAACAACCAACATCGATAATTGTTATTATTTATAATGAGATTAATAACGGAGAGCGACTTTGCGGCAGTTATGATATATATGCTAAATTACCTAGAAAGCTAAAACTTTGTTAGAAATAGAACAATTAACGTTATTCTCTTTTTGTTAACATTTTTTTTTCCTGCCTGTGTTTCATTTCAGTACGACGATAGCTTCAAAACTTTTGATCCCCAATAAAAGAACTTTTTATTATTTGTTTGAAATAAAAGTTAGTTCGATGAATGACCAAAAATCATTACGCGTATACGTATTTGATTTGTTTTTTTCGTTACCGTAGAAGTCCTTACGAAGAAATTCTACGCGAACTATCACATTTATTTTGTTATTATTGTTGAGACGTTACCTTTGCGAAAGTATCTCGTTACTCGACGTCGTTCGAAAAGCCCCGAGAAAAAAAGAATGTGCGAGGGAATAAATTTAACGAGAAACAACATTGCAGAGAATTAGACTTGAATGAACGAAGAGAGAAATAGAAAATTGTCAAATATTTCCTATTATAAAATTCCAAAATTTTCCGTTT